ATGGACATATTATTTTGATGTTGAGACGTCTAATCTCAATGCTGAAACCATGTTGAAACCATCACCAACCAGCAAACTAGTTGGCCCACTGTGAATGTGCTTCTTGTGGGACTGGGTTTGTTGTGGATCCTCGGACTGATGAAGTCCTTTGGAAGAAGAATGAAATGTCTCAACAACAAAAAAATAAGAAACAGTCCAGAGGACCTGACTTAACTTTGTTGGTTTTCTACCTGGATTATTGAGCATGAACTTTGATGTTTTGAACCACTTTGGCTATGGCTGCCTCAGAGGAGTCGACGGTGGAGAGGGCGGGCCCCAGAAACCGTCTTATCACTATAAACCTGGTTGGTCCACTATGTGTGTGCTGCTTGTGGGACTGAGTTTATTGTGAGCCCTCGGACTGATGAAGTCCTTTGGATGAAAAACGAAACGTCTCAAAAAAAAAAAAAAACATTCAGATGACCTGACTTAACCTTGGTGGATTTTTTTATCTGGATAATTGAACATGAACTTTGATGTATCATATAAAATATTAATTTACTAACTTATTTACTTACCAACAAAAATGTGTGTGTGTATTTTCCTTCATGAAGAAGCATCTATGAAGTTTTGTTCAGGGAACAATATATTTGTTTTTCTTTTTTCTTTTTGTAAAGATTGACTAAATGTTGGAATCTCTAAATTCATTTTGACATGAAATCATCTCTCTTGTGCCTAAAAACCTCACGCACACCAAGACATTTGTTCCGTATAAATATTTGCATTGTTGTCAGGAGGTTTTCTGAGAGGAGCCACATAACATTTAATTAAAACCCCAAACCTTTCAATTAGTCTTCTCGGCCATTTGTCATTCAGTCTAATTCCCAGCTGTTCTTTATGAAGAGGAGTGATTACTCCTAATCCCTTTGTTGTTAATAGTTTCCTGGCACTGGATTAATTAAAGCATTTGCACTTGACCCCTTTAAACCATGAGGCCAGTTCTGGATGTTGGGCAAAATTAATAATCTTTCATAATTGCACATTTTCTAGAACTAGAATCAAACATGAAAATGCATTTCCATTTTAAGATGCAGTTGAGTCGTTTCTCTCACTGAACTGTGCACAGATATTGTGAAGAGTGTCTCCTGCGTTTGTACCGACCTTGCAGAGTGAATCGCAGGATGTGATAGCAGCCGACCATAAATCACTGTCAAAGCACAGACAGATCCAGCCACATCCTCCGTAATCTATTTGTTCGAGTAAAATATGGTGTAATTTGCTCCCAGATTCTTGCAGGGGCAGCAAAAAAAAGGTGACACTTTGTTCTGCTTCTTATGCATATGTGGTATTTCCTGGTTTAACCAAGTTGACTCTTTCCAGTGAACATTTCTGTCCATGTGAAGAACAAAAGATTGTCCTGTAAGGTTAATGCAACCATATCTGTTATTTTAGGCTCTTCATTTGTGTAGTTTGACTTAAGAAAACAACAAACATATGAACGTAGTCACATTTTATTGCCAGTTTTCTGTTGTTCAGTATCGTTTGAGAGATGTTTTGTCAATTTTATCAGTAAGAGTCTCAGAAAGACTCAGTTTCTTTGCATGCATTGCTCTATTCATATATTTATGAGAGGAGGAAACCATAGCAAAAACTCCCAGCATGCATCTGAAAATAAGTCATGTTATATTTAAATATCTAGAATCTTCTTATGAGAAGTATGTTTGCTTTACAATATTTTTCTTTATTGATTACTTTTTTTTTTTTTTTTTTGGCAACTAAGTTGTTCCTAAAGCACAGAGCCTGGTCAATTAACCAACAGAAACAATTTTATGGAAGTGCTGGTTCCTTTTCTCGGCAGATGTTGAAGGTTATTTCCACTATATAGTTGTTGTTAGATAAATAAATATCCTATAAGCCACTTTGAGGACACAAGAAGATTTTTAACCAGTCTTTTACTTGCAAGGTGAGACAGTCATGAAAACAGGCTTTCATAGATGTACAAAGTTTCATGCTTCTAGATGCTCGTCAGTGAGAACCTGCGCTGGACAGTGGGGCAGGAAGTGTTTTATAAAACACGCTCATCAGGCCGAGGTGAAGTCAAGACGAGCTCGGCTTTCCAGCTTACAGACTTGGAGAAGACCTTGGAGTTACCAGATGAACCTGCAGGCTCCTTTCTGAGCAGACAAAAGTCTCTGACCTCACACACTTCCCACACATGGTGCAACGTTAATTTAACATAAACATCCATAAACCTTTACCTAAATTCCCCTGACTGTTGTATTTTAACGTAATGAGTCCATGGGATTCATTTTCAAAATGAGCAAATAATGTTCTGATGCTCATTTCCAAATGTCCCATGGGAAATGTTATGTTGAGGGAAACGTACTTTTTGAAAGTCCTTCATTTGTCACAGTTCAGCAAAACTTCGTTCCACCACTCTAACATCCTCAAAATATTTCTGAGGTTGTTTTCCAGATAAATACTTTTTTTTTTTAACAGTTTTATTCTTTATCAGTGACCTTAAATTTCTGAGTGCCAGAGAGCATTCTGCTCAATGTTTGAATAATATTCAACACTTATTATTATTATTCATTAATAATGACTTTAAACAAACCTAGCATGTTCATTGTGGTCCAACACCTTGGTTAAAGTTTTTGTCAAACCTCCATTTTTTTTTTGTCTAATTTCTCGTCTGATGCATCTTTTTCAACTCAAACATTATACTAATCATTTGCTAATTTAAGAAAAGTCATAAAAACATATTTTTAGAGAACAGCTAATCAGACTTTTAATTTTACTTTAATATTTAAAACATTTAAATGTTAAATAAGCATCAATTTCTTCCAGCTGCATGTCAAGATTCATATTTCATGTTTAACAGCTGGCAGGTTTCTGCAGACTTTGTCCCTCAAACTGGATTTTTCATGCTCAGGCACTCAGATTTATCATTACACGTAGTTTATGTAACAGTAAGTTATGAATGTTAGATAAGTAGATTAGCCTAGTTTTATATAGTTTGATGCCTTTTGGTGTTGTTTGGTTTTCTCGCCTGCTTTGGCTGAAAACGAAGGTGGATTATGGTGGCTGTTCCTTATGCCAAACAAAGACTGTTATGTGAGTGTCTGCAAAATAAATCATGACCCTCAGAGTTCACATTCAGATGATGAGAGTAAATGGCTCTTTGTGCCATTTTGGGTCAGCAATACATAAGAGGAACATTTCCTTATGTAACAGCCCTCTGACCCAACTCAACTGCAGCTTAATGGATTAGAAGAGATTGGGAAGGAAAAGGGAAATTAAGTTAAAAAAAAAAAGGAGAATTTTCCAACTTTGTTAGGGTTTTCAGGGGGTCAAGTCAGAATTAAACCAGACTGGTACTGAACTGGGTTATTGTTTAAAATCTTAAATGTAGACAAGCCGGTCCAGGCTGGACACTGATGGACATAGCAAAGATGTGAAAGATACCACATCCCATGCATCTGTCCTTAGGGGTTCCGTCTCTGGACATGTTTGAAAAACAAGAAAATCAATCAGTGTCAATTAGAGCTGCAGTCAAAGTGAACTACACACTGGGAGGGAAACAGTCAGCAGCAGGCAACACAATTACGCTGCAACCCCCCCCCCCCCCTGAAATGGCTCCAGGTCTGAGAGGATGAACCGATGCATATAAAAGCCTCTTACTGTGTTTTATCTCAGGTGGCCTCTTGAGCGGAGACTTCCAGCGAGGATGAGAGACAGTAGCTTCACTGGAAGCACTCAGAGTCACGTCTTTCATGTTTCCAACCTGGAAGCACAGTTCGGGATGCCACTCTACATAATTGCTCTGATCTTCAAAGCCTCTTCTGCTGCTCTGACTCTCATTCTGATGCTTCTCCAAAGACATGGGACCAGCAAGAGTCAAAAACAGCCATCGATTTCTGTACAGTCACTTCCTTCTCTGCTGTTAAAAAAAAAAAAGGCGGTAAGAAATCTCAGCAGCCAAGACTGAATTTAGACACTGAGACGTGGGAGCATAATCACATTTGCTTCGAAGTGTGAATAACGTCAAGCAGGTTGAAGAATCCTTTCTCGAACACGTTGATGCCGCAATGTAATTTTTGAGTCTTCATTTGCATGCAGGCAACACAAAGGCTTACATCAGTGTATACCTCAAGGAAATGAACATGCAGACAAAGACACAGCAAAGAAACAAAAGCACGCCCAGCTGTCGGATTGCCTGCGTGTCGCAGACATATGTTAAATGTTTTATTGTATACTTTATTTTACCAAAAGAGGGTCAAATGCGCTTTTCAAAGCTAAATATTTATGAGTAATAAACAATATTCTGCTTTTGCTTTGTTGGGAGGTAAAGTTTAAACTATTCGCTCCCACTGTAAGGTGTTTCAGCGAATGAAATGACTGAAAAGTTACCAGCTGGATAAATTGTATTTGCATCACTTTTTATGACGTCTTCCAACACATTTCCCATGTATGGTCTGATGCTTCCAGCCTTTTGTATCCTTCGAGCTCCAGTCGTCACTGGTTTCTGTGGCAACGTGATTTTGAAAATAGCTCCAACGGCCCACTGCTGTCGCAACTTCTCCAGGCTGAAGCCCACTCTGGCTGCATGACTCATTCATTGCTCATTATCATCCCACTCTCATTTCATCATCCTGTACGCCTGGGCTCCCCTCTGTTATAGGACGTCTGACGGTTGTGTGGGGGGCGGGGAAGAGGCTACTACAAAGCTGCGGCGTAACCATGCTGCAATTGGCTGGTGGGATCCATTTAATCTGCTGCTTCTACTAGAGGGTCCACCTCCATCCTCCTCCTCCCCCCTCTGTGTCTGCATCCACTCACAAACAGTGTGCTGCCTCTGTTCCAGAGAGACTATCAGCTTTGCACAGGGAGGAGAGGATTAGCTCCACCACTCATCTCATCTGCATTTACGTTCCCAGAGAACCACATGAGCATCCAAGGCTGCACCTCCTTTGTATAAAAACCTGGCACTCCAATCACTTCGCTTCACTTGGTCACTGCTGGGAGAAGACTCAGGAACAGGAGTTTTGCTATTTTTTATATATTTTTTTATATATTTCAGCCTTTAATTATTTGCAGATTTTGCTGAATATTTTATATTAGTTCTGTGATGTTGCTATTTAAATGGGGCAATGCAAGTTTTGTATGACATTTACTTGCTTTGAACATTGAGAGGTTTCCCTTTAATTTTTTTTGAAGGGGGACTTTTTCACTTAATTTTCATCTATTTTTGGAGACTTCATTCTTGGGATGCCATCCAAAGAGCCCTTCAATTCACAGAAGAAAGAGAAGCCTTTAGTGCAAAAGACCAAACAGGAGGCCAGTCAGGAGGATATTCTCTCAGCAGCTTTGGGGATGAGAATGGGGCCACAGAAACCTTCTTCAGCCACTTTCTGGCAACCACTTAAACTATTAGCCTACTCGCAGCTCACCTCGCTGGTTCGGAGAGCCACTCTGAAGGAGAGCGACCGGATCCCCAAATCTGAAAAAGTTCACAACTTCAAGGTAAGACTGGATGAGCTTGAAGAGTTCCTGTGAGGTTTTATCAAACTAATGTCATCATGTGTGGCCAGAGGGCTGCTTCTCTACTCTCATCCCTCGAATGTGGGAGATGAAAAGATAGGGGGCGAATGTTTCTGAGGGGGATGGAGAACAGTGCTGTTTTTGGTCTGTCCAGTGAGGCTTTATCAAAAGAAAATCTGCTGGTTTGACTGGAGCACTGCTGTTAGTCGGAGCACCAGATGGGAGATTACTGCTGGAGAGGCGAAACAGTGGAGGAGTGTTTGGCTCCTGTTTTTTTTTTTTTTTTTTTTTTTTTATGGGACGAAGAGAAATTTCCCTGTCAAGTCTCTGAAAGAGCTGATGTTTCTCACACCCATTCTGCTGCTGTGGGCTTTTGTTTTGCTGATTGCTGCATTTCAGACTTTTATGCTGTTTCTGCAACCGTTGTGCAGTTTTTCTTTGTGCGACTTCAATTTATAAATTATTTTTAAATGGACAAAAATATGGCGCAAAAACTGTGTAGTGTAAAAGTATATTTTCATGTTGAACAGTATTTATGTTTTATATGTACAGTATTGTGTGTTTAACTAAACCATTGCAATCCATCTTCTCCTGTATGATTAACATGATCCCTCACATTAAATAGATTTAATAATAAATACATTGCATAGCTTTTAAAGCATGCTTGGTGAGCTTTAGTTTGCTCAGTTCAGAGGCCTCTGTGATTGGTTGTGTTGTTGTTACCCGCATGGGAGCATCCTTTTTCCAGTGTCTCCATTGAAAAGTCTCCCAGCAACTTCATTTAACTGCCATGCAACAATGGCAGAGTCCTCCACACACATATGGATCATCCTCCACTGAGGCAAACTACAGAAAGGGATGAGGTAACTGCAGGAACACCCCGTTCTCTGTCTGTCACTAACATCCATCACTGTTCTTCTTGTTTTAGGTTCATACCTTTCGAGGGCCTCATTGGTGCGAACACTGTACCAGATTCATGTGGGGACTGATGGCTCAGGGGATCAAATGTACAGGTATGTCTGAACAGAACAAAAAAATAATAATTAAAGTGCTCAAAGTGAAAATTACACTATTTGGGTTACTTGGTTTGCAGTGCATCTGGACCAGGATTACTGATATTTAATCCAAAATCTCTGCAGTAGTTCGAGGATTATGGGTTGTACAACTAAATTAAATGAGCTGTGATATAAAACATTGTGTTTGACCTAATTTGATCTTTTCTCAGTTGAAGTTTGGGGGTTAGACATGTAGCTGAATGACTTTCTAAGGCTTGTTTTGTTTAAAAAAAGATGTTCTCATCCTTATTTTCATGGTAACAAAAGCTCTCTGGGTTTCCTCTTTGATGACTTAATAGATTAGTCGCACACTGAGCCAGAAAACACAATGAGCCGAATGTGGCTGATGCATTTTAAAGCTCGGCTCATTTTCACTGATGGATTGTGACTCCCAGTGTGAACACATTTTCAAAATATTCACCCATGAATTGTTCGGTTGCATTTTTCTTCTCTGTTCTACTGAGATGAAACTGACTTCTTGTGTGAGTCTGTTTCCATCAGCAGCACGGCACGGTAACGCAGTCTGAAGTGCATCTCTGATGTTTTATTGATGCAACAAAGTGTGCCACATGAATCTCCGGGAGCTCTGATATTAAATATTAACGTCTTGATGTTGTGAACTGACAACAATCCCTTTAAAGGCGCATATGGTAAAAGCCAATCATTATCGTCTGTAAACATGCCGTCATTCCTTCAGACTCAACCTCAGCCAGAAGAATCTGGGGCACCGAAGTCTCTCATGACGCCCTCATTTGCATACCAAAAACTGTTCTCCCATCACCCTCCTTTTTCTTTTTTTGTATGTGTGAACTGGTTTTGGTTGAGTGCCAAAGAGCAAAGTCTCTGCTTGTCCTTGTTGTGGCACATTCCCTCATCAGAGTGCAACACCCCCACCCCCTTACACCCAGCCTCATCCCATCATGCCCATGAAGGAAAACAAAGCTGGCATATCTCTTTAATGAGGTGCAGAGCTGAGTGTGAGGAGGAAGCCCTGTTTCCACACATATTAAAATCCAGCCAGTTATATCCAAAGAGCTGGGTCACAACTCAACCCCTCTTTAACCCAAATACTTGGTTTGAAAAGAACGAACCCATTAAAATTTAATTTCAAATGGACTGGCTGATAAGGCTTTAGGAACCAGCTAGCACTAAACTGATCCAAACGGAGCCATATAGCAGAGTCAGAGTTGGGATTGCAGTGCAGCATCCTATTTTTACATGTGTCCCTTGGGTCCCTCCCCATGTGGGACCCAGGCCCATCAATGTTCTCCCATGAACACAAGAGCTCAGCCGGGTCGCGTCTGATGACGTGTCATTATTATACTCCTGTCTTTAAGAGAATCATCTCTTAAGGTAATTACATTTCTGCATCAATGCCTATAAATTCAGGCTGTGTGAATTTCTCCAGGGACTCGCATTAATCATAGTCTAAAGACAGCTTCCCAAAGCTTTCTAGTGTAGATTTTGTTTTTTACGGAAAATGTGTCCATTTTTAAACGGATTATATATTTTTAGTGAGGGGGTTGGAGTTGGAGTCACAGACCCCACTGAATTTGTGAAAACAAAAACCTTTCAGAACTTGAAGACAAAAGAGCTATAGAGATGTCCCGTTTTAATCAGGGAAACTAGGTCTTCTGTAGCCCGCAGCTCCTCAACTGCTTCTTCCACAGACAATGTGTGCAAGCTTGGATTTGGAGAAGAACAGAGCGAGCAGCAGAGCTCACTGTCCCTCCTCTGGGCACCAGCATTTTCACTGCTCCCCTAAACTGACTGCCTCCATGTGTTTCTGTTATGAAGCAAAGCTGGTCTGTCTGTTCCTGACAAGAAAAATCATAAAATAATGATGATAATAATAATAATAATAATAATAAGATTGTATATGCTATAAAGAAAAAGCAATAACCTTGTGTACTCACCATGATGTTAAAATGATAGCCCATATTTTTAAGTGGAGTTCTGTGACTGAACAATTAAAATCCTGTTTGTTGTAGATAGCTCTTTGAATGATTTCAGTTTTTATTTTCATTTATTTATTTATTTTTTTGGATTGACAAATTAACATCTAATTTGAGTTAATCCAAGACTAAAGTTGATTGCTGCAGAATTAAAACCACTCCAATTTAAAATAACTCATGCGCTTCATGTGAAGTCATTGTTATAAACTTTTATATTCCCGTTTTTGCATTTAACAGTTATTACTTGAAATTCTTTGGTTATTTATCAACATAAAAAGTAGCAGCAGCAGCAGCTAGCTGTAGCTGTTTTGGTGCAGCATTTTATTTAAGATGGCAACAATGCACTTTGACCTTTGGCCCTGCTCACATTAGTGCTAAGTTGATCAATTTGGTCAGAATTAAACTCATTTTCTCAAACCTGGTCATTCAATCTACAACCGATTAACAATTTGTTAATTCATTTATTTATATATTTTTTTAATCTATTTCTTATTTGTGTAAAAAAAAGGAAACAAAAATGTTTTTATATGTGCTTATATCAGACATTACACCACACATTCCTCTTTCATGTTCTTTAGTTTTATTTGATGTTTTTTTCTTTCATTTTAACATTTTATTTTTTGTCTCATGTTAATTAATGATTGACCCTCGTAAAGTAAATCGATTACTCTAGAGCAGCATCTTTCCAAAGGGCTTGTGACATTTAATGGACTGCTGTTGGTCAAAACCCCAAGTCCCATCTTAACAAAACAAAGTTCTTGTTGACCAATGTGTAGTTTGTAGTAGTTTAAAATAACATAATCTCCACTTTCTATTGGTTTTATTCACAGATTCTATTGAGCGAACCCTTTCACTCATGAACGAACCCATCTGTGTGTGTCTCCCTTTAGATTGTGGCATGAATGTGCACAAAGAGTGCTCGGCTCAGGTGCCTAACGACTGTAAGCCGGACCTGCGACACGTTCGTAAGGTGTACAGCTGTGACCTCACGACCCTGGTGCAAGCCTACAACACAGCCCGACCCATGGTGGTGGACATGTGCATACGAGAGATCGAGTCCAGAGGTTAGTGTGTGCGCATTTTTATTAGCAGGTGGATTTAAGAAGAATGTTGTCCAAGATGAATAGAAAGAAATGTCTCACAGTGCAAAATACTAAAATGAACTCCTGTCAGTGGAAACATTTTCATCTAAAAACTGTAAACAATTTATTGCCCAATAGAATTAATAAAAATATTTTTGAGTGTTTGCTTCCATGAGGAAGAAATGCTTCTGGAGAGGAAATCACATTTTATTCTAATTATAGCCATCTTTAAACATTTATATTGAAAAGCTTGAACAGCTTTCAATTTCTAATATTTTGAGCGGCTACAATAAATTGATTCAAACGGATTTTAAGCAGCTGCTTACAGTTTAAATCTTATTGTTATACAGCTAGCTTGTCATCCGCAGCGTATTCTGCTTTTGCTTGTTAAAAACTGGATTCAATTACTGATTAAGTTAATGTTTTGCCATTGGAGGGGTGACTGGGAGGAATTATGAGCATGCTGGTAATTGTAAACGTGTAATGAGGAATCCATTACTCGGTTTCCTGCTGCCTTAGCTGATAGCATTTCATTTAAATCATGCAGCTATAAGTTGTTGTTCCCTCATTGTCTGCCCTCTAATGTCTGTCTGAAGCTAAGTTTGATTTATGTCTTTATTATTTTGCCCAGTGATGCAGAAAACTATTTGCATCGGCCCTTGTTCTCCTTGTTCCATGACACTGTGGACATCATATCCTTAATTTCTTTTGTATATCATTTATCATTTTCTAAATTACAGTTTTTTGCAACACCAGTTTTGTCAAATTGTCTGAATAATTGTTTATTTAATGTTTGCTCCTCTAGGATTGAAGTCAGAAGGCCTCTACAGAATATCTGGATTCAGTGACTCGGTGGAAGAAGTGAAGATGGGGTTTGATAAAGGTTTGTGTTGCTGGCTTTATAGATTCCTGTCAACTTATAAATGGCATTGGAAGAAATTCCCTGCTTGCATATGTCCACGTGAGGCAGAACTTTTCAGATTACTGAAAAACTGGCATATTTGTGGAGGATTAGTGTCCATCTGGGGATGCAGATCTTTCAACTCTGGACAGACCTCACAGGTTACAAACCATGCACTGCCTTAAACGTGGCTGTGTTGGGATTCAGCTGTGGACTTAGTGAGAATAAACCTGTCTTGGGCCAGTGCCGTCTGAATTTTAACTGTAAGAAAAAGCCTGCAACAGTGGACTGAAGTGCAGAGCCAGATCTGCATGCAGGAGATCATCCATGACAGAGTGTCATTCCAGCTCACAGCACAGTGATGCTCAGTCTGCCAGCACAAGTAGGCCACAGCCTCCTCTGGAAAGCATGCATAAACGGGCAAAAGTCAGAATTAAACAGGCCAGGGAGATGATAGATGATACTCTGGAATAAAATTCATTGTTTTTGCATTGTTTAACACAATCCCTTCACTCCTGAGTTCATCCTGTGGACGGATGGATGGGAAAGTGCTGATGAGGCATTTTTCAGTTTAAGCATTCTCATTTTCTTCTTTTTGTTTCTTCTTGGTTCTTAAACCCATCGCTACAGATGGCGAGAAGACAGACATCTCAGCGAGAGCCTATGAAGACATCAATATCATCACGAGTGCTCTGAAACTGTACCTCAGGGATCTGCCAGTTCCTGTCATCCCATTCGAAGCCTACCCCCAGTTCGTCGAAGCTGCAAGTACGTCACGGCTTGACAAATCAGCAAAAACACATGCATTTACCTGCACACAGTGATTGTTAGGTTTTTATGGGTATTCTTTCTTTTTTTCTTTTCATTGTTGCATTTGCATGAGATAATTATATTGTTTTGAGTCTGGGTTGTGGATAGAGCTGTTAAATGATTACAGCTTAGTCAATGTTTTTTGCTCCATTTACAAACACTATAAATTAAAACTGTGGTTGTCCAACAGGCACTTCTTTATCTAATGATTTAGCTGCAAAAATACCTCCAGAACACACATCAAACTACTGCTTTGTACCTGAAAACAAAGCAAAAAATAAATAAAATCCCCTTGCATCAGCAGAAACTACAGTATACTCACCCCTCCTTGTAGTTACTAATGGCTTTCTGCTGTTCCACAGGAAGTGCATTAATTCTTGAGTGCTCCCTTTGAGGTTGCAATGTTGTCTGATCCATCTTAAAGGGATAGTTTAGCTCTTCTGAAGTGGGGTTGGGACTGGGTCTGTTTTAAAATGTCAACTCTTCCCTTTGGTCTTGGCCACGCTCAGACAGCTGTTAGCGTGTCAGTCCATTTAAAAGCAAATTAAACACAGAATGCAATGGTTTGCAAAGTTTTGTTCACAATGGAACAAAGTAAACGAATTAAATGCTGAAGAAATTGTACGATAAAAATAAGGCTAATTTTGAATTTGATGTGAGCTCAAAAATTGATGACAAGGCCATGTTTCACACTAAGCAGCCCCTCTTGTTTAACAACAGCCTGTAAATGTCTAGAAACTTTGTGCTTATGTTAAAATAAAAAGTATGGATTTAATATTTAAAGTATTCCCATTTTTTTTTCCCACTAAGGAGCGCTGTCCTGATATAGTTCCACTGTGTTTAGATGCAGTTTTTTGCAGACTGGTGAACCTCTGCCCATCTTTACATTGGAGAAATTCAGCCTCTAACTATTATGTTACAAAATGTTTTCTTATTCTGACCACTTACTTTTACGATCTTTATAGGTTTATTGGATTTGCAAATCATTGCATTTTATTTACAATTTGCACAATACATTTTCGGACAGAGTTGAACAATATTCTATTTCTAGGCCATACTACAAACATCATATGTTCATGATTTATCAACAGAACTCCACTTTAAAAAGCTGAACTGTCTCTTTAAAGTGAATTTATAAGGCAAAGAAGGCTCAGTGGGCAGTTATGTGAAAACAGCAGTTTCATTTTTTGGTGTTTTTGTGTCTCCTTTTAATTATTTACATTGCTTTGCTGTTCTTTCTATCTCCGTATGAGATTTGTTTGGGTAATTGTTTTGTTTCCAACAACCTTGCAGTTTTTTATGCCTCATTTGTTCTTGTCTATGTCAGCAGTTTCTCTCATGTGGTTTCCGTGGTCATCTTGTGCTTCAAAGCTGCCTCGTGTCTCTGGTTGTTGTGTTTGTGTTGTGTCTTTGTGGTGATTTTGTTTCTTCTTGTTATTTTGTGTCTCGTTGTAGCTGCCTCTCTCTGGTGGTTTCACAGACTCACCCGGAATGACTTCGAATTTAATTATTTTTAGACGGATTTTAAATAAAGACTCTTGTCTGGCACCATTTTACCCTTCGGGCCCCCGAGCCTGCTCCCCAATGGCCCATCCAGGAATCTTTTTCATGCTAATCACACCTTCTTTTTCTGCTTGCCAGAACTCACAGACCCAGACAAGAAGCTGGAAGCTTTCCGCGAGGCTCTCGCTCTGCTCCCCCAATCCCACAAAGAAACTCTCAAATACCTCATGGCCCATTTAAAAAGGTAAGGCAGCTCTTATTGTATTGTAAAACTCATAAAAGTTGTTTAACTATAGGATTTTTTTGTTCATAAAATCTTTGAAGTGTCTAATTTTAATCTTCATCCCCACAGGGTTTAATTAGGTATCTCATTAAAGATCTTTTGATGCCTGTTTACATGCTTGTTTCTGTTTTTATTACAGGGTGACACAGAACGAGAAATTCAATCTGATGAACGCAGAGAACCTCGGCATCATTTTCGGGCCCACCCTCATGCGTGCACCCGACCAGGACGCCATGACAGCTCTGAATGACATCCGCTACCAGAGACAGGTGGTGGAGGTGCTGATCAAAAACGAAGAGGGGCTCTTTTAAACTCTGGACTTTTGTACGACAATTCTCTAACAGCTCTTTTATGTAAGGACTCGTTGTGTATATTTTTGAATGTCTCTTGCTAACCCAACATCAGTCACTCTCTCTCTCGGGCGTGGATGATGAATCTTGTACAAACTTAGTGTCTCCCCATTTTTGTCGGGGGATTTTCTGAAGTGGAAATGCATCGTGCAAACTCTTTGTTGCTTTGTGTAGTTGTAACTTAGCATGAGTTGAAATCGATTAGCCTTGTGGTTTCCTTTCTGTCTCATCTGTTCTGGGTTTTGTTCACATTCCTGGCTGCCTGCAGTGCAGTTATTTCTCTGAAACTTTATTCGACTGGACGTATGAATAAGCTACTAAGTTTTCTTGGGTGATTTTTATGATACTGTATTTTTTTATCTGCTCGACCGTTTGTTACGTGAGCCGCAGTTCTTCAGTGAAATGAGCCTTTTTAATGTGTCAGCAACACTGATGTTTTACCAGATAGCAATGTTTTTACTGTTTTAAACAGCGTTGTTTGTGAAATTAATTTTGTACTGTAATTTTTTTTGTACACAACTTGTGCATGATTACGTTAATTTATTAAAACTCTAACTTGAGCGACCCATTTCGATCCTAATAAAAACAAAAATCAAGATGCATTTACCTTTTTTGGGGGGTCTTTTGAAGTCAATATGAAATACTGGACAGTAAAAATGCAGTCTTTAGGATAAAATTGCTGACTCCATCCATCCATTTTCTTCCGCTTATCCAGGGTTGGGTCATGGGGGTAGCAGCCTAAGTAGGGAGGCCCAGACTTCACTATCTCCAGCCACTTGGTCCAGCTCCTCCGGAGGAATCCCGAGGCGTTCCCAGGCCAGCCGAGAAACATAGTCCCTCCAGCGTGTCCTGGGTCTTCCACTGGATCTCCTCTCGGTGGGACATGCCTGGAACACTTCACCAGGGAGGTGTCCAGGAGGCATCCTAACCAGACGCCCGAGCCACCTCAACTGGCTCCTCTTGATGTGGAGAAGCAGCAGCTCCCGGATGACCGAGCTTCTCACCCTATCTCTAAGAGAGAGCACAGACACCCTGCGGAGAAAACTCATTTAGACCGTTTGCATCCGTGATCTTGTTCTTTTGGTCACAACCCAAAGCTCATGACCACAAATAAGGGTAGGAACGTAGATCGACCAGTAAATTGAGAGCTTCGCCTTTTGACTCAGCTCTCTCTTCACCACGACGGACCGGTACAGCGCCCGCTTCACTGCAGACACCACACCTATCTGCCTATTGATCTCACGTGCCATTTTTCCCTCATTCGTGAACAAGACCCCAAGATACTGTAAACTCCTCCACTTGGGGCAGGACCTCCTCCCCGACCCAGAGCGGGCACTCAAACCTTTTCCAGCTCAAACTTGCAAACTTGAAGTTAAATGACCTGATTGAACATTGTTGGATTTTTACCAGGATTATTGAGCACAAACTTTGGTGTTGAAGTCAGTTACTTTCTAAGCTGTGTCTTTGCTTTGGGATCTTACATTGTATGATGAGACATATAAAAAACAAATATATATATATATATATATATATATATATATATATATATGTGTGTGTGTGTGTGTGTGTGTGTGTGTGTGTACACATCCATATTTTTTCTTAATGTGCATGTAATATTAGTTCTTTGGTTTGGTTTGTTCTTTCTTTTCTGGATTTAGTTCACTTTGGCATGTACCAGCATCTCCCTGTGTTGTCAGCCATCTTACCTTAATCATCCCTGCCCTCAGTAAACCGGTCACACCTGCTCCTCATTCATCTTAGCTACCACCACTCGTAATCAGTAATCACTGATCACAGCTCTTTTTTTCCATGAGCTGGACTTGAACCTACTCAAGTTAACTTTGTGTGGCTTCAGAGTCTTTCCATTGGGTCCACTGGGTGTTCCCACCCACAGCACTTGGTTCGTAGTAGCCTCCTAGAGCAGACTGTGAATCCAAGAGAGCCGAGCTGAAGATTCGACATCATCTGACTCTGATTGATTAGAGAGCAGCATCAATCATGAATATGAATTAAACCCAGCATTTTTAAAAGCTTACAACCACATTATTGCTTTTATTTGTCCACTTAAAAAAAAAAAGATGAATAAATAAAAAAATTATTTTGCAACTTTACAAAAAGCTCAATTTTCAAAGCCAAAAGGCCCTTACATTAACTCTTGTGAGGTCTGTTTTTAAACCATGAGTTTCTAATTTGATGGACTGTAAAAAATTAACAAGTAACATAAGTCACAAGAGGCAAAAATACAATAAAAACACGTAGAAGCACCACTGATGTCTTTCAAAATAAGAGCAAATAAGACCAGGATATTTATGTTGCATTGCTCTGACCATGTGTTCTGTCTTCAGTGATATGTTCTGTCTGAAAACTGCACTGAAATACACAGAAATAATGAAATTCAGATTTAATTACCCACAGTTTTTTTTTTTTTCAAGCAATTTCCACAAACCAGTCATGCTCATCGTCAGTGGCTCATTACATGATCTCTGTTCACACTGTTGAAGCTTGGAGGCCATATTAAAACTATTTTTATTCAGAATTAATCTTCATGTTTGTAATGGACAGTGAGCTTTTCTGCTGAATTACTGTTTTGGCTATTTACGTTCCTGTGGTTTGTAGTTGTGCGCCTTAAATATCAGCAAGCAGCATGTGAGCAGCAACCAGGACTTGACATTTAATCTCTATGCCGTTGTGACCGCATCACGTTGAGTTAATGTAAACCAAACCTTGGCTTGTCTCTGATTGTGTGACAAAATTGGATTTTCATCCAACCGTTTAGCCTCACCATTTTAAATACAGCGTCCATTCGTTTATGACGGGCATTGACTGCAGAGGGAGGTAAAGCAGGCCAATAAAGCTAATCAAGCTTTCTATCTTGCAGTCAGATAGCAACATGGAGGAGCGGTGTCTGTTTAATGTTTTGTGTGCTGGATGTGCATCATTCTCAGCCATTAGGGTAAATCTCAAACGCTGTGATCCATGAGAAAACTGACCTTTCTGTCTGAACTGAATGCAAAAACTGCTGTTGAAAGTGGAAATATAAATATTACATACAAAAAGACTAAAAACATAAAATGTTGAGAATATAAAACATTTATTTTTGGAACATCATGGGATACAGCTCAAAGCACAATATAATCTCTGCTACAAAAGCTGGCTAATCCTCCTAATCTCCACCAAGGCATAAACATCAAGTGTGTCCAGTTTCCATCAACCCCCTGCAGATATTCCATAGATGCTTTCATTCGAATTCAATGAACATTTAATCACTTAAAAAGCAGCTGTAAAGGCACAAACAAGCAAGAACTGAGTCCCAAAAATGTTTGTCTGCACAGACGTGAGCACAAAGAAGAGTGTTACATGACAGACTTGGACAAAGACAAATGTGATGCTAAGGTGGTGTAAATTCAGGTGGCCCTGCAGTGGTTGGACAAAAAGAACAGGGGAGGCAAATCTCTATTTCAAATGTTGCCAAAATGGTTATTTGTCTCTAAGTGAGATGAATGAGGCCTGTGGTTGAGCGGCTGGCTGATTGAACGGATCAGGAATGTGAGGAAATTGAGTTGCTTGACCCATCACAGGTCTGATGGAGCCGGGCGGTGCAGAGCCGAGAGGGGGCGCGTGAGTGGAGACACAAAGCTGTTTGAAAAACAGAATCACATTTGAAACCAGTTCAGAATTCCTTAAACTAGATTACAGTTTAAATTATTTTAGATTTAAAGACAAGCCAAATTGATATAGAAGTGACTCACATTCAATTTCATGTCCTCAAAGTTAAAAACTAAATATAGATGATATGATGCAATGATATAATGCATGCTCCGGTCACATGTGTGCCTGCAGATGTTCACTAGAAATAAAAGCAGTTAAGAGAATTATAAAAGCAAAAATATTTAAATTGATATGAAATGTATCGGTTTGCTTGTAATTATTAAAGACTCATGCGAGCAGCTTTCATACAATAATTACTTTATGAGGAAAAGTTTAATAAGGTGTTTCAATTATTTAATAAATAATATTAAATTTATAATATAATTAGGAACTTTTGTTTTTTTATTATTAATTAATAATTAAGTACAACAATCTTAATGTTGTAGAACTAAATCAAATCTTAACATATTTAAATGTGAAACATTGTAATTTACTTATTTTTAACAAGCTTAAGGAACAAATTAATTAAACATTTTGCACAGAGTGACCAAATAGAGATGAATCCAAAAGCGATCTTATAACCATTAAGTAAATTGAAAAATTACAAATTTGTTCCACTTAAGCTAAATGTTAGTGCTGACATTTTAAAGAAAAGCCTGACGGTGGCACAGTCACTCATTTACCTTCACTGAAAGACTTTTTAGATTTGTTCTTCACAACTTTTTGAAGTCTCCGTCAACTGTCCCAATCAAATGAATCTCATTGTCTCAAACTGGCTGAGCTACAGACATTTGTGTGTTTTTTAAGGTTGATTAGTGGTGATTACCATCTTGAACTGGGTTGACTCCAGTTGTTAATGAGTAGATGAACGTCTAATGATTACTTTTTGTGAGTTTCATTAAAATCCGTCTTGATGGTTGATGAGATATTTTGATCACTGAACACACAGACACAGGCAAAAGAGGCAGGAATCAACTATCATCTACAAATATTGAACATTGTTATCATTACATTGAAGATGAACTATCACAGTCTTTCTAATATTTTCTTTCTTTGCATATTGAGTCATACTGGTTCAGTTTTATTGTTCTGTGTTTTCAGAAATAGTAAACTGTCATCACACTGTTGTAACCAGAGGATAATGTTGGCATCAAAAAGCTGTTTCCTCTTCTGGCGTTTATCATCTTGGTCTGTTTCTCTATAAATACTCTGTTTGATCCATTTTGTCATTAAACTCAGCCTGATGTGAGATATTAACCTTTAGGAACAATAAATTTCACTCGTGCTTTTCTCTCTAATCCCTGCATTGTGTGAAAGCTCCGATGTCGTCAGGCTAAATCTGGTTTCACTGTTTTACAGCCTCCCCAGCCCAACATCACCACCACCCCCACAGCCATATGCTGCATCTGACAAACTGTTGTTTTCCCCAACAACCAGCTCCACCGCAACAACAACTCGTGCCCGCCCCGCTGATCCCGGGCACTGATGTCTTGAAGAATTAACGTTTAGGCTATCATGTTGGTGCTGTTTGTTCCTGCAGGGCTGATGGTGACTTTGAGACCAAAGTGCTACTCGAGTACAGAGAAATTAGTTGTGAAATCCTCCTGCCTTTGTCAAATGCAGTATAAGATAGGTTCCTGGACCTTTTATGGAAACTTGGTCATCATTCCTGTAATCCGTCTAATCCATATAATCTCTTTCTTGCTGTAAGACCGAGGTTATGTTCATATTTGCAAACATGAAGCTGCACCCAGCTTAAATCACAGCAGTGAAACAGAAAAGGACAATGAGCCAGGCCCGGCTCAAAACAGAAAAATAATCTGTAAAATAATCTGATCAAACTGTTTTTAATTCAACTGCTTGTCTTTGTTTTATGAAGAGTTTGAAAAATCCACAAATCCTGTCAGGTTTTTTTTGTTTTTTTTTTACATTTAAGTGTGTTTTTATTACAGTTTTGTCTGATTTGAGAGACTTCTTGAACAATGGAACGTGGCCAAAGGATTTTTCTCAGAGTGAGACTTCAATCTGTACTTCTTTGTCAGCATCATGCTCGTCTCCTTCCTGACTTCGTATCTTTTATCGCCCTAAAGAATCAGGTATAAAAGTCAATAAGAACATGATGTACTAATTTCCATGCACATTTCTCACTTCTTTTTTTTTTTATCTTAGAGACAACAGAAAACATGAGCTGCTTTTCAAATGTCATTTAAGCTGCATATTTAGTGTTTAGATTCATGTTTTTGTGAGTTTTTTTTAATTTTTTTGCAAAAACTTTTTCAGGAAACCTAAACCTAAACAAATCAATGGGTTCAAATTCTCAATCTATTCAATGTATAGACGCAAAGAAAACATTTCATTTCCACATTTTGTTTTGTAACATCATCTAACACTTGTGTTTGTCAAACACTTGTCAGACTAAAGTGTCGATACATCTGCTGCTGCGGTAACTTCACAGCTTTTGTGCACATCTGGCCATGTTCCCAGTGTGCAGGCCTGCCTCATTACCCAGTGTCCCTCTGTGCTGTCGTGTCTGAAAGCAGGCCTTTGCTTTAATGTATTATAAATCACTTGGTCTCTCTTTCTGATATGACTGCTGACTAGTGTGAAGGAGAAGCTGGTACCCAGAGATGCTCTCACCAGGATGACTTGGTTTAATGAGCCGCCACGCCACGAAGCAACCAAAGGTGTGATGGGGTTGGAATCAGCTTACTTGTTTTATTAGTGGCTATAGAAAGCAGAAATATGTGCTACTTTATCGAAACGTGACTCAATCGTAGAAGTAAACAAAGCCATGACTGTGTTGCTGTATAAATTCTAGAGAGAGATTCCTGATTGGCTGTGAGGCTGACAGAAACCAGACCAATAGAAACAGCCGTTCCTCATGGCAGCGTGAGAAGAAAGCATATTTATGAGCCGACATACAGGTACAGCTGAACTTGGCAATTCCATAACGCTTAATCTTCTTTGACAAACGACAAGGTGTTTACATGTGGCTGTTTGTAGAAAACCTATGTGTTCTTGTAAATTAAATGTTTGATAATGTACGTGTGTGTATTTCAATATATATATATATATAGATATCTACATTTTTTTCTTTCTCTATACATTTACGTTCTGATATATATATGAATTTACTATTTGTTAAACTAAGTTACACTTTTCAACTGTATCTGTTATAAATGTAATTTCTTCAGTCATCTGTGTTCTCACCTTTGACCTCATAGCTCCTAAAAATAACACTGGAAGAGTATTACGTGTCATTAGTGTGTTACCACTTCCACTAAAGTCTTGGCTCTGAAGCTCCTCAGGATGTCAAAAGACATTATAGGACATCATATGTATCAAATTTATATAAATTGTATGTTTTTTTGCAAGCTTGACAAAAAAAGTGAAACTTTAAGATCCTATTCCTAAAGCGATTTAATTGCTTAATAAACTAAAAGTGATAAAGAAGTTTTACTAAATTAACTTTGAAATAACTCATGTCAGCTCAGCTGTTTTCTTCTTTTCAAAATGGTTTGTCATCTTGCAACCCAAAAGCTAATCTCACCCCAAAATAGATCTTTTAAGCACCAAGATTGTTCTGTTGCTGGCTAACCACCTTACTTTCTTCTTCTAAACTACCGTACTTTCCGTCGTACACGTCGCACCGCCGTAAAAGTTGCATCAGTCCAAATATGTCTAATAAAGTGAGAAAAACATAAATAAGCTGCGTCGTCATATAAATTGCATTACGTCACCGCTGCCCACCCGGAAGTGTGGGCCGGTGTTGTGCCAAAAACCGATTGGCTGCCAAATGGTGGCCACGGGAGCATGCACGGGAGGACTTTAACAAGAATTTAACTAGATTAACACTTAAAAACAATTATTTGTTTGCTTGACGTTATAGCAGGTATAGCAAGGTGTGTCTCAGTTTAACGTTTCCTTAATAAATGCACTTTAATGGTCAAATCAGCTGCAATTCACCTGGGCAGCATGGTAAATTCTGTATGGCAAGCAAACTTTCTCATTAATAGCCTATTTTACCTATTAATGAGACACTTGGCTTGGCTTGCCATATATGAGAGAACTCTAGCAGCTGAAACGGTCAGTTGTCCGCCATAAATTGGGTTATAAATATGGGGGGGGCATAAATAAGTTGCTTCACCATATAAGTTACAGGGCATGCCAATTTATGCAAAAAGGTGCGACTTATACAGAGAAAAATATGCAGCTATTCATTATTTGAACAAATTGAATTAAGGCAAATTAATAAATGAAATAAGTACACTTGCCTTTGGTTTAATTTAACATCATATATGATATTTTCTAACATGTGGTGTTTTCAGACGTGAAGAGCAGTGAAAATGTTTTGTTTTGAGCCGCAGCATGGCTGAGACTGTTCCTGGTTGTCTTTTTGAAGCTGACTCCTTCTACCTCCAGTGATGTATCTCTACATTCTTTTCAACACCATGTTCATATTTGCAAAGTAGCAGTAACTTTTTAAAATGTTCATGTTTTTGTTAAGCTTTATACATTTCTTGATATCTGAAGCTTGGCAAGAGTTGAACTGCTGCTATTTTTCCTTTTGGTTATTTTGCCATCTAGTGGCAGCATGAAGGACAGGTTGATGATTTTTTTTGTTTGTTTTTTGACCACCTTAATATTTTATATTCCACCCATCCATCCATTATCTTTTACCCGCTTCTTCCATTTTGTGTCACAGAGGTGCCCATATCCAGCAGTCATTGTACGAGAGGCCGAGGACACCCTGGACAGGTCTCCAGTCCATCACAGGGACACATAGAGACAAATGAGACAAACAACCATTCACTCTCACTCACACCTAAAGACAATTTCGAGTTACCAATCAGTCTAACATGCATGTTTTTTGGGGAGGAAACCGGAGTACCCGGAGAAAATCCACTCAGCATGGAGAGAACATGCAAACTTCACCCAGGGCCCCGGCCTGGATTTGATCCAGCGACCTTCCCACTGAGAGGCAGCTGTATCAACAAAGCCACCATGCCACTCTATTTTACATTCCCTTGTTTTTAAAATGGATTTTTATTAAAAGTGTTACTATCATCGTGCTATTCTCAACAATAGACATCCTAATAAATAAAAGTAACATCAAACCATCTATGGTGCTGACTTTGATAACCAGAGGTCACCTGTGCTCATTAATCAGGAGCTCTGATGTCTGCAGTGTCACTAAAAGTCTCAAGAAATCCAACAATGTGATTACTGTTGTTACTGTTACCACTGTTGTGTGTCAGGAGAAATGTGTTATGTTATTTTTAATATTTTATCAGTCAATGTATTGTAGTTTTAATACTTTAACATATATTTTTGAGGTAAATGAACACATTATACATCAGATCAGCAGCATTAAGTTATTTTGAGTAATGATCTCCAGTAGTATTTTTATACACTTTGTGTCCATTTTAAAGTAATCCTAAATGCAAACAAACAGTCCATTTCAAAAGACCGTCAAGTTTATCACAGATTGACAGTTGCTGAATTGGAAGAATTGTGTAATTTTTCTTTTCTTTAAAGGAGCAACAAAACAAGCAAACAAACAAAAAAAACCTGAAGATGTTTATGAACGTTTAAAGCCTAAAATCACAGATTTCCTAAAATAAGCAATATTCAATCAAGTATGTATATTAATACCAACACACACCAATGGTTCAAGTAAAAAAATCAAAGGTATTACATTAGGGAGGTTACAATTTGACTGACTGATTGATTGTGATTGATGGGATTTACACATAAATATATTTATGACATACTTTATAGTTTTAACAAACTACCAGCAAAGTGTAGTTCAGTTTGCATTTGTCACATGAATGCAAAGTTGTCCAGCAATAAAGTAATCACGTCTAAATCTTTGTGTGTTCTCAGAATTCTTCTTATTTATGCCGTGGTGGTGAAGTTTAAAATTTATGCACGGTTTTAAAGAAAACAAAACAAAAAAATCTAATCAGAAATTTTAAGTTGGTGTTATTTGTTTCATTGTGTTTTCCCATAAATATAACAAATTTGTTTAAGTTGCTTTAAACTGTTAGATCTTAGCAAATTTTTTAAAAAAATGTGACAATTTTACCCTAACTCTGAGTGCAAATGATTAAACTAATACATTTTTAGATGTAAAAAACATGAAAGCATTATAACTTATTTCAAGACTTTTACTACTTTAATGTGACTTTTATTCTGTACAACCCAAATTAAAGCAATAATAAATGTTGCAAGAAAAAAATAAAAGATATAAAAAAGTTGGTTGCATAAATGTACACAGTACACACCCTTAAATAATTTGTTAAAGCACCTTTTCATTTAAGTACAATACTTCATAGTTGCACACCTGTCATCAATGAAAATGACTGATCAACCTGAAATTCAAGTTAAAAAAAAACTAAAGGTCACAGGATTTTACTTACGTTTACATTTTAAAGAAATGTCTACGATTTCTCTAAAACTAATTGAAAATAGGACAAAAACTGGTAAGAAAGGCTGCACAAAGGCCTACAGCAACACTGAAAGAGCTGCTGGTATACTGGCAGATACTGGTTGGCTGCTACATGTAACAACATATGTCTGGACTGTGAGGTAGGAGAGCCTTTGATTGCAAAATAACATTCAGGCATGACTAAGTATTACAAAAATTATATATCAAGTATCCCAAGAGCCTGTGGAACAATGTGTTTGAGTCCAATGAACTTGAATTTAACTTTTTAACCACATTTCCAAAAGTCATGTTGGCAGGAGCAGACTGGATCACCGAAGAATACCATAAAGAAACATGGTGGTGTCAGCATCATGCTGTGGAGCTGCTTTTTTTTTTTTTTTTCTGGAGCTGGTGTCTTAGTGAGAATGGAATTAAGTAGTACCTGTTTATTTAGGCCCAAATCTGCAGGTGTCTGCTAGAAAGATGAAGATATTTGAGCAAAAGAGAAATGACCCCATCCAAACCTCCATCCATTATCTTTTACCCACTTCTTTCTATTCGAGTCACGGGGGTCACTGTTGTCCATGTCCAGCTATCACTGTGCGAGAGGCAGGGGACACCCTGGACAGGTCTCCAGTCCATCACAGAGCCATAGAGACAAATGAGACAAACAACTATTCACTCTCACACCTAGGGACATTTTAGAGTTACCGATCAGCCTAACAACATCTGTTTTAACAAAATAATGGCATCACCAGAAGAAAATAAAAGTTTTTGAATGTGCAGTATTAGCTGAAGTCTAGCTATAAAGTTGACAACAGCTGCAAGATGACCAAACAGGGGCTGTGCACAAAAAAAATCCTGCACACTCTGACAGACTTTGAACCCTTTTGGAATGGAAGAATGGGCTATTAGTGCTAAATTAAGTTGTGACATGCTGATAGAGCCTTCCCCAAGAATGCTGAAGACAGCAATTAAATCAGAAGGTAGGCTAAATCAACAAAGTATTAGTTTAGGGGTGTGTACACTTATGCAACCAGCTGATTGCATCGTTTTCATAATTATTATATATATATTTTTTGTACTTTGTATTTAATTTTCAGTTGAAGTGTAAAGTAACATGTAAAGGGGGAGGGGAAAAAAAGCTTTCACTTTAGTTGTTATGGTTTTATTTTTGTGTATTACAAAACATGCCGTTTTCACAGGGTTTGTTAAGCCCCGCCTTTTTCCTGCCTTCCTGAATCGTGATTGGTCGATTCGTGTTGACAAATCTGGGTGAAAAGCGTAGAGTGGGCGGGGCGTTGTGCCATATCTCCTGTATGTCACAGTAAAACGGACACACTGTAGTTTCGTGTCATTTCCCCGGGTTGTTACAGTAAAATTAGTTGTCTAGCTTCGTGTGGCACTTTTAGCTAACTGTTATAACCAGCTGGGCCACTCCTAACAGCTGCTCGCACCGAGCCACGGTCGACACATGGCACATGAAGGGAGAAACCCGCTGTTATAGGTGAGAGCCCTGTTTATTGATGACTGATTCGCTGACATGGTGAGTTCACGAAGTTACAAAAGTAGCTATCTAGCTTCTTGTGCACCGTCGTGTGGACTGCAGCAACTTGCACATTTCTTTACAATGCTGATGCTGTTTAGGGTCCTGAGTAGTGGTTTCTGTTTAAATTAAACCAACTTAAAACGTCCTTCCGCCTCCAGTGCCTGGCAGAGCCATTAGCATGACCACAGAGCAGCCCTGACCACTGTGGAGGATCATGATGGAGACAGCAGGCAGAGCCAGCAGCCTGGACCCTCTCTTCAAGGAGAAGGACAACCCTACCTCCTCCTCCACCACCATGTCCATAGACAAGCTCCTGCCAGCTCTCCTGGAGTGCTTTGGGATCATATTGTGTGGTTACATCGCAGGAAGGACAAACATCATCACCTCCACTCAGGCCAAAGGTCTGGGGAATTTCGTGTCCAAGTTTGCCCTCCCAGCGCTGCTCTTCAAGAACATGGTGTTGCTGGACTTTGGCGATGTCATCTGGCCTTTCCTCTGGAGCATCCTCATAGCCAAAGTGTGTGTGTTTTTCATCGTTTGCGTCCTCACTCTGATTGTTGCCAGTCCTGACAGTCGCTTCAGTAAGGCTGGACTCTTCTCAATATTTGCAACCCAAAGCAATGACTTTGCTTTAGGGTATACAATAGGTGAGTGTAAAGCTTTTTATTCCAGCAACCCACACTGATTGTTCCATTAAGTGCTTCATGCAGAAGTAATGAATGCCCGGTCAAACATCATATGTCCGCTTCCATGCGTGGAGCCATATAAAGTGGCAGGGCTGCTTTTAAGTGATACAAAACTAGTACAATCAATGAAGCAAACTCTTTGGAAGCATAATAAACTGTAAAATGTCTAAACCTTAAACGAATAAATAAATTCCCGTGACAGTTTGACAATAAAAAGCAAGATAAACTTGTTCTCAGTCTGTATGCAAAACTTACTACACAATAAAGACTCATCTTTATTTCACAATCAGTGCTTACTTTGTTCAGACTTTTGTTTTACTTTATGAAACTGTTCTTTGGACTAAAAGTAAAACTGCTGGCTTTTTTTCTTGTTGCAGAGAAACTCCAGCACTCGCATAATAGTTCTTGAAAGTCACCACTGATTATTATTATCTGAGGGATTCCTAAAACTCGACACATCGACAGTCTTAAAAACTCCCCCTAGCTTTAGAGTTCTTGTCATGAACACGAGGGAGAAGCGAGTAGGGCAGCAGGTGGAAACAAAAAACAAATCCAAGTTGTATTTTGGTGAAATGATGCCAACACCAAATAGTACCCAAATCCTAAAAGTTATATTTAGTTCCTCTTAGTGGTTTGTATGGAGCAACAAAAACAACACAATTATCACCTCCAGTGGAAAAAATCTCTGGTTTATGTGGTTTATGGTTGTTTCTAACAGGTGATTTTGTCACGGCAGTTTTAAACCGTAGAGGATAATGCCATCAAATGAACTTATTACATTTTGAGTGGTTTTAAAGCTTTTTATCCAAAATATTTAATTTTACTACAGTTTACATGTGTCCAGAATACTCATTTCTGATTACATTTAGACAAAACTGATTATAATGTTAGATTTCCATGACTTTTTTTTTTCCATAACCCATTTTTCATCTTTTTCATCTACAGTTGAAGCCCTTTACCAGAACACATACCCGGAGTACCTTCAGTATATTTACCTAGTTGCACCCGTGTCCCTGATGATCCTCAATCCCATTGGTTTTGCCTTCTGTGAGATCCAGAAATGGAAGAACCAGAGAAACCACCAACGGAGCAAACTGCTGATCATGGGATATGTAGTTCTACAAGTCTTAAAGAACCCCATCGTTTTCATGGTCGTCTTTGGAATAGCCGCCCACTTTGTCCTACACCAGATGATTCCTGCTTTCATGGCTAAGTTTATAGATGGCTTAGCCAACACTTTTGGGGGTGCAGCTCTGTTCTACTTGGGTCTGTCCATGGTGGGCCAGTTGAGGAAATTAACCAGATCCACAGTCGTGACGCTGATTCTACTCATTACAGCAAAACTGTGAGTAAAATGACACCATCAGTGGACTTGATGTTCATTTTGATCACGAAATGATGTGATAATCATTGCAGCGCTATCTGTGCATGTGCGCTGTGAGTGTTGAGAAGGTCAGTAAGGTAAAGTGTGCCCAACGTGTTGTTTTGTGCTGATTTCTTGGATGACACAGACCTACCGCAGGCCACAAGAATTTACGAAATAGATTCTTCGTTTAGAGCCCTCAACGAGTACTTACCTGCTTAAGCATGTGTTTCACCGTTTACCAGCTCTTCAGGTAAATGTAGCTTACTCTTCTCTTTTGTTTTGACATAAAGGCTGCTAATGCCCCTCCTTTGTAAGGACATGGTTGATCTGTTGGATAACAACAACACCAGCCCTATGAACCACTCCAGCCTCTCCGATTATGCCTTTCTTTATGGCGTGTTCCCATCTGCACCAAGTGTGGCCATCTATGCTGTTTATTATAACGCAGAACTCGAAGTTGTAAGTGTTTGTATAATTTTCCATTTTATCTGCCTTTCAGACACTATAGTGCTCCGTGTGTTTTGCCTGTTTAAACTTCTTTGCATATGGTTTCCATGTGATTTCTAACAGATAACCTCAGGGATGGTGATCAGCACATTTCTTTCAGCTCCAATCATGTATGTTTCAGCTTGGCTGCTGACCATCCACTGGATGGATCCCCAACTTGTGATGTGTTCTCTTGAGAATGTCAGCTTTAACATAAGCATAGTGAGCTTCGTTGCACTGGTAAGTCACAAACAGACTTGTTGTTCACAACTGATTTGGTATCAGCGTTTTGGTCTGGCTCGCTACCATTTATGATAATCTCTTCAAACTAAATGTAATCTGGTGCTGACATACTTTTTTCTGCTCAAAGAATGCATCTTTTTTTGGTCATGCAATATTAATATATAAAAATCTGATAACTTCTGACATGTTCTGAACCACAAACATATTTAAAAGGTGGCCTGACAGTTGCTTCACTGACTCAGACTTACTTCCTCATTCTCACTTTCAGGAGAGGTTTTAAGGAACTTCAAAATATTGTTTTTGCGGCGGTGAAACATGCCGACAGCTGTGTCTTCATTTTGCAATATCGTACATTTGAACTGCTCTTCATGTTTCTGAATAACTTGTTTATTCTTAATAATTTTCCATGTTTACTTGAGTAGGCCAACAATACAGGTGCATTTCAAGACATTAGAATATCGTGAAAAAGTTCATATTTGGTCAGTCACTACAGAAAGTGAAACTCTTGTAATACGTAGTTTCATGACACATAGAGTGAAATAGTTCAAGCCTTTATTTCCTGTCATTTTGATGGTTATGGCTCACAAATAATAAAAAAACAAAATTCAGTGTCTCAGAAAATTAGAAAATTCCACTGCCAACTTTTAGTTCCTTTGGCAGTGCGGGCAGGAGCCAAGTCCTGCTGGAAAATTAAATCAGCATCTCTATAAAGCTTGTGAGCAGAAGGAAGCATGACGTGTCTAAAATGTCTAAAATGCAACTTCAGAAAATGCAGTGGACCAACACCAGCAGATGAAATGGACCCAAACCTTCACCGACTGTGGAAACTTCACACAGTTCTTTTTCTCCTCAGCCAGGCAAGACGCTTCTGACATCTCTGGTTCAGGAGTGGCTCGACTTGAGGAATGAGACATTTGTAGCTCGTAGAGGAGTAAATGAGCTGATTAGGGTGTGACACCAGGAGTTTCCAGTACTGAAGCTTTTCACGATGTTCTAATTTTCTGAGACACTGAATTTTGGTTTTTCATTATTTGCAAAATATGATACAAGCGTTTCACTTTCTGAAGTGATTGACAAAGTAAATTGAACTTTTTCATGATATTCTAAATTTTTTAGGTGCACCTGTATTCTGTATTTAACATGTATTGATCAATCTTGATGTTAATTACTTGAAATTGTTTATTTTTTCCTGACAGCTGTGGACGATTACCGTTATGTTTTTAAGTAAGAAATTCAAGCGGCTACCTCACATGTTTACAGCCAACCTTTTCTTAGCTCAGGTAAGCATGCTGATCATTTATTGCTTATTTGACTTCTCAGTAATTCAATGCCAAAAAATGTAACCATTAGCTGAAGGTAACTGCATGAGGGAAGGCTAACATGGTATTTCTGGGGTGTTTTCTAGTTGCTAAGTTGCATTGGGATGATTCTGTGGAAGTTTGTGGTGAAGGACGACAACTTCATCGGACAGATTCTTACTTTCACTTTGTTATGTACTTCACTCTACAGCACTTACATATGGCCAGGTATCCACAGTCATCCATGCACAGTACTGTCACACTAACCTGCATTATTTATATCGTTAAGTTTGACTTTTCTGATTTTAGGATTGATCATACTCTCAATTGTGCTCATAAAAAAGTTTGACGATCTGAACGGACCATGGGGCTTGTTGGTCATTGCAGGCTGGGGGTGAGTCACTTAATTTATTGAAAATGAAACCGAAGATAGTTTGTCTGATTCACCAAAAGGAAGATAAATAATGCAAGTTTATGTATTGTCAGTGGATGATTTATTTGTCTGATGATGGGTGTGCATGATTATATATCATCATGTGTATTCCTGTACCACCCTGTAAAGGTTTGAAACTGACAAAGTCAAGAATAAATATAAAAATACATAAATCCCTCAAATATATTATTATGCCAATGAATTTGACTAAAATATAACGTTTATTATTTACTGACCACTGCCATGAGAGTCAGAAAAGTAAGTGTGTGTGCATGTTTGTGTCAGCAAAATGTCATGCATTAGTTGAAGTATTTTAATGAAACTCTCAGAAGGTTGTCTGAACTTTTGGAGTCAACTAACCGCAGCAAACACGTAAATGGCCATAAGTCAGTTAATTATTCAGATATGAAGCTAAAAATTAGTGCAATAGTTACTGAGAGTCGTTCCTTACACACTAACAAAACAACGATCAGACTGTGAATGATTTTTTAATTTAACATTTGCATATCAGAAATACTTCTTTCATTTTGTGCTGTTTTTATTTCTCTAATGCATTTCTGCACCGCTTATTGTATTTATACATATTTGTTTCTTTTTCACTTTTATTTCACTGTGTTCTTATGGAATTGTTGTGCATTTAAAATAATAATGTGCATTTGTTTCTGTATTGTATTTCCTTCCATTAGTTATTTAAATAAGTGCTTTCATTTCAGTCTTTGACTTTTTCTGGAAATGCTCTTACAACTCATGTGTGCGTTGAAGCCTAAATATGAAAATAAGGGTTATTATCTTTCAGAGTGTGATGAGAGACATGCAAAACAAAAAAACCAAGACTGAGCTAGCTGCAGTAGCTAAAATGAGCAGTCAACTAAGAAGCATAACTTTTTGTTCTGACTCAATAAAACAATAATATGAAGACCAAATAATGACTAATGGCACAATTTATTTAATAAAAAAGCAGTTGTTTGTAACATTGTGGTGAAACGGGAGGTGCTGGGTGTGAAAAGCAGCCAGTATACCATTGTATCATTTTAATTACAGTGCTGTTAAACAGGTTTTTGTTTATATTTTAATGCTGTTGGCAAATTTACATTGTTACAGGATTCCAGCTATTGTAACTGCTATTCTGCTCATCACTGGGCAGAATATACCTGACACTATTGATTCATCTCTCTTTTATGGCAGACTACAGGTAACAAAACAACATAATTTAAAAAACAAATCATGTTTCCTGTCATCTGTAGTAATATTTAAATGCAACATTAAAGTCTGCATATTTTGTGTCTTTTTTGGCAGATGATCTGCACCACAGTTGTCGTCGGCCTCGGCATCGTCCTGGGAGGAGGGTCACTGGTGTGTCTTAGCAGAGGAAGCTGGGCCCAAAATGATCAAGACCAAGATGAATACCCTTCATTTGACGCCTCTCCCGTTGAAGAAGAACATCGGTCTCTGATAGAACCAGAAAACTCAGCAAGAGACGGAGGTATCTCATGCAGAATATTTAACAGAGACGAATACACGTCTTTGTAATTTTTTAAGCTTTTGTTCTTGTTAATTTCATAAAACAGATTTGGTTCAACGAAAGGCTTAATTACTAAAATGACAAAAAAATCAGAGGACAGTGCAGATTTAGGAGCAATAGAAAAATAATTTAACTAATGATAATTCATCTACATCTGACAGGCTTCACTCTGTGTATGACATTAAACATGTGGGGGGAAGCATGCGCCCACAAAGTCAACTCAGAAGACAACTAGGTAGAAAACAGCTGTCATTTCTGGAGGAAGTATGATATGACAAAGTCTCCACTGAGAACATGACTGCCTTTTTACTTACAAAGATCAGAATATTTGTTAAAAGCAGTAGCTGCATGCAGTGTTTGCTTAAATTTCGAGATGGCTGATTTAGAAGATTATTTCAATAGTAGTCTGTTGAAATTCAAAGTATTTTTTTAATAAATCAACATGTGTTTTGTATTATTATTTTTGGTAATAAAATTGAAAGCCACTTGTGTTTACAATTGATTTTACTTTCAGCCATTAATACGATGAGCAAAAAGTTTGAATATATTCTGGTTTCTTTATCAGCGTGCCTCGCATGTGACTGCGTTCGAGCCTCGCCCATGCCTGATATGATCATCAGCACAAATGCGAACAACACCCCAACTCCCCTCGCAGGTATTTCACCAATAACACGTGCATTCTGTTCTCTTTTGTGACAATTTGAAATGCACTAAACTATAGAATAAACTTTCATCATGTTAAAACATTTTTTACTCATCTAAACTTGTGTTTAATGGGCTCACCCTAAATACAAGTTCAAGTAATTCCAAAACATTTTGTGCAATCTGCTTTTGTAAAAAACTTGTACAAAAATAAAACGTTCAGCTTCTGTTCTGTCTCAGGTCAGTGTGAGAACGGCTGTGAGTCAACAGACTGTCTTCTTGCTGAGCTGGAGGAGCTCCAACAGGTCACAGATAGACAAACGGTCCGTCATGTGCTCCTGTGTCTGCTTCTGACTGTCTGCCTTCTGGCTGTAAGTAACACACCTTTCAGCTGTCCGGGCCTGCACTGGTCTGTTCGGTGCATCAAAAATCAAACTAATAAAGTAGTCCCTCGATACTTTGCGGTTTGACTTTCGCGGACTCGCTCTTTGGCAGGTTTTCAGCGTAAGATTGTAAAACCACGATTGGTGATGGGGAAAGACAGACCCCGCCCCCTGCCCCATCCTTTCTCTTTCTGAGGCCGTCTGTCACAGCAGAGCAGAGACCTGTTGTGTGTCTCTGCTCTGCTGTGACAGACAGCCTCAGAAAGAGAAAGGAGGGGGCGGGTGGGGTCTGTCTTTCCCCATCGCTACTGCTCAGGGAGCAGGGATGAACAAATCAGATGAGCAAATGTAGAATATCGGAGAAAATGCTTAGGTGGAAAAATAAAAGTGAATCTATTTTTTTTTTTTTTCAAAGAGTAGCTGAGCGGGCCAGGCCACCGGGAAATGTCCCGGAGCTTCCTATGGCCAGTCCGCCCCCGCATTAGCTCAGTGACCGTAGCATCAGTCTTCCTGCTCTCTTTCGCTGTGCCCTTTTAGAGCGTTTAGAGAGTTTAGAACATTGTTAAGAACATTGCAAGAGTGTTGGAAGGGTTTATAAAGCCTAAAATATATATAAATACTAAAATAAATATTATGTCCCGACTTGGTTGATTTTCACCTATTGCTGGGGTGATGGAAACACTTGTATGTATGTATGTGTGTATATATATATATATATATATATATATATTTGTAGCCTATTTGTTTTGTTTTACTGTTGATCACACAATTTCAGACTGTAAATTTTTCTTTCTTTAAAAAAAAAAGTTTGTTTTCTGTACACAAGTTGATACCATGAGCACGATTGACTAAAATGTAATATGTCTCCAATTCTCTTAATAACAGAATTTATCCAGCTGCTTGTGGTTGCTCTGTAACCACTCACCTGGGCGACTCTACTTGGAGCTGCAGTTCTTCTGTGCTATAGCCAACTTTGGGCAGGTTAGTGTAATGAATACACAAGTCCTAAAATATTTCATTTTCTTCCACACAGAACCTCATTTGTAATAGTTTTCTGTCGACAGGGATTTATCTCATTTGCTCTTTTCGGGCTGGACAAGCACTTTATTTGGCTGCCATTGAAGAGGTAACGAATAATCTAGTCAAGGATTTGCATTCAGAGGTTTTATACACGACGTAGCCACTGTGTGTAAATTATGTGTTGGTTTTTTTTTATCAACTCTGTGGATTATTTTTTTTAACTATTGGTTGTTAGATTGTACAGTTGGTGTTTTGGAAAGAAGAAAAAAGAGCAGCCTGATTTACCTGATGACATCAGGATGACTTGCAACCAGTTCACCAAATACCACAAGAAGATGTGTTTCCGTGACATTGTTAAAAAGAGAAGGTGAGAGCGTGCAATCGCAGCCAATTTGATCTATGGTTGATTTGAAAATGTTTTGAGCTAACATGACCCCGGTATTTGTGTTCAGCATATTTTTAAGGTACCGTAATTTCTGGTCTATAGAGCGCACACTAAATTTAAAATAAAATGCAATTTTGTACATAAATAAACCGCGTTTGTGGATAAGCCGCAGGTGTCCACATTTTAATTTCAGAAACTGTACACAGCTCCTGATAGAATGTGCAGCTCTTGTTGCAGTACAATAATCAACCACCAGATGGCGTTTCATAGACTTAGTTTGCTTTCAACAAACACAAACAGCTGATCCTCACAGGTCTTCATGGTAACACCCTTTCTGACTCATGGCTACTCTACTAAATGTTAACCTACAACCTACTGAATGAACACAAAACTAGTCTAAGAAAAAACAGACTACTGGTAATCACTGGAGAGAACAATGCTGACACTTTTGACACCACTAAATGTTTTTGGCAGCAAGAAGCTTGTTAGCCCATGAAAAAATATAACTGTAAATATTAGGGATGCATGATATTATCGGCATGGTATCAGTATCGGCCGATATTAGCGTTAAAGTTCAATATTGAACATCGGCCATCCCATCAAAACAACTCACCGATATAAAAGGCGCTGTTTTTGTATGACAACCCAGTGACGAGGATGCCTGCAGCGGAACGTGATGACGTCACGTGCGCCTACCTGATCTCACGGCAGAGAGGAAAATTCAAAATGTTGGAGGTGTGGAAGTTTTTTTCGTTAAGGATGTCGGATTCCAAAGATTTTTAGACTACGTTGAGCCTCGCTACATTGTCCCCAGTCAGAGATATTTTTCTGTAACCTTACCCGAGTTACAAGCCGTCATTTCCGACGTCATTGAGAAACTAATAGCCGATAGCACTTTGGGTAAGTTTTACCACAGACATTTGGACGTCAAGTGTTAGCCTTGTTAGCGTAATTAGTCTTACGGCACAATGGACAGACAAAAACTTTGAACTTAAAAAGGTTGTCCTTCATGCACAAGAGTGCAGAGGATCCCACACTGCAGTTAGGAACCTGGAACAAGCCTCCACAAGTGAAACAGCATCGCAGGTGACTAATGCTAATAAATAACATTTAACACTTTTCATTTAATATAAGTTAAAGTGCTATGCATATCATATGGCTGTTACTGAATATATGTCACCAGCTCTTAAAGCTGTTACACAATTTTTGTAGCAAATAAGCCTAAATAAGAGGGCTAAGTTCTGACAAAAGAAAGTATATAGGCCAAATAAGTTTTAACATATCGGATATCGGCCAAAAATCCAATATCCTGCATTCCTAGTAAATATTATTAAAAAAATACATAAATTAGTCACAGCATTGTATAAGCCATGGTGTCCAAAGTGTGTGGAAAAAAAGTAGTGGCTTATACACCGGAAATTACAGTACTCCTCAAAAAATATTGATCAAATATTGATTCTCACACAGAGTGAGAGGTGGACTCTTTTCAGCTCTTTTATTCTGCTGTTTGCTCTTGACTGCTTTAATGCCTTTAAGGTGTGGGATGAAGACCAAGGTGGACTGCTTTCTTGGCTGCGAACTTGTGGATTGGCTTCTGAAGGTAGGCTTGGCGCAGGACCGCGGCGAGGCATTGCTGTACGGGACCCGGCTGCAGCAGGGGGGCACGCTTCAGCACATCAAGCAGGAATACAGCTTTGAAGACGGTCAACTTCATTACTACTTTACAACATGAAAGAGTCCAAGTTAGCTCGTAGTTTACCTCGAACAAACAACTTTTCAGTTTAAACAGCAAATTTGCTCAGTCCACTTATGGCAGCACTGATTACAGACTGGTGTATTGTTGTACCTCAAATGTAGCTACAGCACACTGTTCTAATTAAAATAACGAATATGCACTGTGAGTTGTATGGCATTGGTCTTAAAAGGGAAAAAAATGTTTCTGAATCACCTCGATCGTTATATGTATTACCTAAATATACAATTGCAGCTGCCTTATTTTAACTGTGAAACAGTTGATGAGCTTTCAGGTGATCATGTATAGTAAATATTTGTTTAGCTGTACAATCAAAACCACTTGCTTAGAGGTGAAACAACAGTGAGCAGCTGTCATTTAACACTGTTTCGACAAACACTGGACTTAAAACAAGGGATAATTTCTTTCACTTAATTGAAATCAAAGCATTTTAAATGACTGTTTTTGCTTCATTTATTCAATCTAAATGTGATTTAATTTTTTGCTTTCTGCTCATGTTTGAGTATTAGTGTTATCACAGGCTGAGCTTATGGTGCATGAGAACAGAATAACAAGTAATTTGTGAAAATCTTCTGCACACAATGTGTAAAAAAAAAAAAAAATCTAAAAAGGAATTTATTTTCATTGATTTCTTTATTGTTTATAAAAATGTTTCCAGTTATTTGAATTCTCACAAAGAATGAAGCGCAAGTGCAGCTCTTTAAGACATTACAGAGCAGATCATGCTCACAGCTTCTCGCATCCCTTTATAGTATTAAATGAGCAGATTTCATACACACATCTGTGGCCAAGTTCATTGTTAAACACAAATTTTTTTTTATTTTTTTTTATTTAGTCTTAAAATGGGCTGTAGACTAAACTGATGAAATCAGGAGCCTGCACTGTGATGTGTGGCTCAACAAGATAATTTACCTCAGTTCTAACAATAAGTGTTCTTAAAATATGAGAGTATTGTTGCATTAACAGTAACAGGTTCACTCTGATCATTTCTTAAATACTTACTAAGTCACTGGAAAATTATAACTTTGGATGTGAATGTAGTTTGTGTATACCTTTTTGAATGTCGTCTTTACTTGCTCTCAGGATGTTAACTCTGGAAACATTGAGGTTAAAACTGCCACACAAAGTAGCACACTGGCAAAACAATTTACTAAAAATGCACAACTGTAATTATAGTCTGATCTACTGTGCCTTATTGATGTGACAGCCATTTATTTACAGATTCATAACGGTGTTGCTTTCAGCTTGTATAAGTGTGTTTTTTTTCTTAATCGTCTTGTGTTTAAAAAAAAATGCTGTTCTTGAGACAAATATGCAGCTCCAGGTTTGTGTGTGATTTAGACATTTAATGTCAGCACCACTATGTGTGATACAAATTATCAGGGTTTGTCAGTTCAGATAACTTAAAACAAAAAAAACACGGTGACCTTGTTTTGTAGTACAGTAACACTGTGTGTATGTGTGTACTGGAAGATTCTCTCCTTGAATACTTTCATTAATAAAAAGTTAATGCTGCTATATGTGTTAGTAAATACAAATGAAAAGGTGTTTTTTAAAGGTGATCTTTTAAGAATTGAAAGTGTTGGTTTATATAGTAGTGCAATCTAACCTGCATCATTCTGTCAAAGGCTGCACACGTATATTGCAGAATAAAAAAATCCCAAAAAATCAACTGTTTATTTTCTATATCGTGCAACACACAATTCGTAAAACATTTGAATCAATGTTTATTTGATAAAAGACAGACTAGTCCATTTTTTAAAATCTGTATCTTCTTGCCGAGTTAATGGATGTGCCATCTCATGATTTGCTGTAAACGGACATCTCTTTCTGCACAGAATTAGAAAACAGCTTCACCAAGTGGTCCGGCTCCTCGATGCCTTGTTGGAGAATCTTCTCCATCTCTTTCATCATCTCTTTCTCTAGCTGCCTCATACCTTCTGTGATCTTCTGTCCTCTGTCCTGCGAAGAAGAGGAAAAAAAGTATAAATCTGAGTACATTTCTGGTAGATGCCAAAATAAAACAAACCATAGGCCTGAATAAATTTGTTAAACCTTGCAGGATTCCATTATAGCTGCAACAATTTCATGTTTGACAAATAACGGATGTTTGCGGTCGGGTTTGCTCTGAAAGCGAGGTTTTTTCTTCACTGGATCATCTGAGCCAAAGCTGGGGGAAGTCGTGTCTTTCAGCGGATGAGCGTTTTTCACAAAGATGAACGGTTTGAATACTGACCTATTGAACCAAACGAATAAATAAGTGTGTCTTTAACTCCCGTCTTATTTAATTTGCAGAATGTTTTCTGAGTTGAAGTGTGGCACCTCTCAGGGTCTGGAGTTGCTGTAAAGTAGTGAACTCCTGGCAGAGCAGGGTCTGTCGGGATCACAGACACCATACTTCCCGTCGTCATAAACATCCCCTCCATGTTGATGCCGCTGTCTTTATCCCGCAGGATATCCATCATTGCTTCTGCAGTCATGTGACCTTCAGCAAGCAAAACAAGCAGCAGTAACGTATCTTATTTTTTTCTGATACAAGTTCAACTCTCCTTAATGATGTCAGAGTTCACCAACCGTTTCTCTTTTCTAGCAGCGTCTTCCCCTCACAGTATCGACTCCCAGCAGACTCTATTCTGGCTGTCGTCAAATAGGAATAAACCGTAGCAAAGTTGAACTCTGTGTTTCCGTCCCACCAGCCCTTGCTTTGTGCATATCCTCTCATTTCTGGATGCTCCTTGTCTATCTTGGTTGTTATCCCATACTGGTTTGAGATGTTGCGATATCCACCTTGAAAGTGTACAAAACAAACTGTTATTCAGTAGCAATCAGAAGCAATGTGGGAATGAAGTGTTTCTACATTCATTCAACTTCCACCATAGTTTACTTCAATACTGGTAATAAGCAACAAAAGCATAAAGTAGAACCTAAAGGCACAAGTATTATAATAAAGGTTCGGTCAAGCAGCTATACTAAAACCAATGTAAAGAAAACACTTAGCTCAATCAAGCTTTTAGTGTCAATATTGAGATTTTAGTATTTTAAATTAAATTCTTTGGATTCTAAATGAAAAATAAAAATGAAAGTGCTGCCATCTGGTGGACAAACTATGTACATATTTTAAATTAGTTTGATTTTACTCAAGTTTATCTTCCAGTTTTTTTCTCTCTTTTAAGGCTGATTATTGTGACCTATCAGTTTAATATATTTTAATTTCACTTTCAGGTTCTGAGTCTCAGAATCAAAGAATTTGAAAGTGGTCAACACTTCATATTATGGATTGGACTTGCCCTATTTATATCCCATTTCTTTGTAATTTATCAGCCTCAAAATGCTAAAATATCTTTGCGAAACCAATGTATAAAAAAAGGATTTACAGTGATTTACTTATGGTATCCCTCTGAAGTCCTGGATTTATATAATTTAAAAATGGATTTAGTTTTTGTTCATTACGCTTTTAAATATTCTTATTTTAACTACTGTTCCTGAACTTTTTGAAAGTAACAGATTAATTAATACATACACTGCAGGTGTATTAAGTGTTATTTAACCTTGTGTACTACTCCATTCCTTTGATTACCTTCCACTCTTTCTGCTGCCCAGTACTTCCCTGACGTTTCCAGCACCCAGGCTTCCTTCCTGTCTGAGACAAGGAAGCTGTTGTGGTAGGTGAAGTCACATTTATCCTCCATGCATGATCCTCCCTGACCGTACCTCCCTAACAGCTCGGTGATGACATCCACAGCTTTCTCAGCTGTGTTTGCTCTCTCAAGTCCAAGCCTGGAAAGTTTTCCCAAAATAACTCAGAACAAACAAATAAATAAATAAACAATCAAAAGAACATGTAAATTGTATTCGTCAAGCTGAATGTGGTGAAGCCTTAAACAAATGAAATGCCAGATGATTGATCTTACCTGGCCAGATATGAAATGCCAGATGATTGATCTTACCTGACCAGATCCATGCCAAGCAGGGCCTCTTCCCCGTCGGCGCTCTCTCTGCCCCACACTGCCTCATTTCCAATGCACACTTGATGCTCATTTGCACCCATCTCTGCCCCCCACAACCATGCTGGTCTGCTCAGCACAACCGCATAAGTGTGGGCAACCTGCTCAATCTCTATGTATGTACACTTCGAATACAAAAATAACAAAACACAAGAAGAAGAAAAAACATAATAGTTATGAACTGGTCTCCTCAGCTAGAAGCAGTGAGGAAAATTAAAGGTTAGTGACTAATGACAGGCTGTGTCACCTACCTCAAGCTTCTCATCTGGATCATAGTCCCTGGCAGGAAAATACACAACCTCTTGGACTTCATCACAGGGTCTGTCCGAGTTTTTCCCAAAGATGATGCGTTGTCCCTCAGTGGAGGGAGGGAGAGCCACAAAGGTGTCACAGGAGGAGGGGTGCATGTCTGTCACCAACCAGCTGGAAGACACAAATATACAAGAGCGACTTTGGGCACAGATTTTAGGCTATTTCATCAAAAAACAGACATGAACTCTAATAACTCCACAGTGTGGCATATAAATGTAATGTTTATTATGGTGTGCCCGTATCTAATAAACCTTAGCTGTCTCCTGAGCGCTGTCAGTATCACTTTTTGTTCTTGTTTGTTTCTTCAGTTCAGTTCCCTGACACGGAAGTAGTCCAGTCACGTGACAAAATTGTCGTCAGTTTCCTCTTTGTAAAGAGTCATATAACTATATATATTTTTAAATGATCATAATTGTTATTTCAATCATTAAAGTGTGGCTTGCAAATAGGATATTTTTTGCAAAAAAAAAAGTCGTATCAATATTATATATTTTTTCTCATATAAATTGCATTTTTATAATCCTTTAACTCTAACAACAGTGTTAATATTGTTGTGTTTTATGAATATGATGAATATTTTTCTAACTATGATTGTATTTACATATATTTTTTACGTTCGCCGTTTCAACTGTTTTGTTTAAAGTCGGAAGAAGCTGCGGTAGTGGGTCTGCTCCTTTCCGGAATAACGACACATCACCCGGCTAAAAAAAAGATAACTGGCTGTTAAGGGGTTTTTCCTTGAACGTTGTGAGTCTTTGAAATGGAGCGCTAACTCCGCCTACACGGTGCGCCGCCGCGTGCGACGGAGTATGAATGCTGTAAACCCCGTGGTTCCTTCAGGTCGCTGTTGCTCTGCGTATTTCACTCTGTTAACAATATTTGTTGTCAGTCATGGGGAAGTCATTTGCTAATTTTATGTGTAAGAAAGATTTTCATCCAGCTTCGAAGTCAAATATAAAAAAGGTAAGCGCTAATTAACAGTTATCTTTACTATGTTTGAGGCAAAACGGCTTTCGTTTAGCTAGTGTTAGCTGACGAGCTATGCTAGCTGCTGCTGCCAAACAAACCCTGTTCATTTGCCAGATACATTTAACGAGTAAATAATCACTGCCCCATGTCTACCCATGTCTTAATTATGTTCTGTATAAACCAAACAGTGTTATAAAAACTAATGAGTATTGTACGAGTCTAGTTTCTTATGTTCACTATTTGTGTCATGTACACAAGACAAGTACCGTCGTTTCCTTTAGTTTAGGTGTAGAGCTGTAGAAGACCAAACGTAAAATTATAGCATAGTTAAGCTGATATAGTAATAGTCGATTTTGTATGTAGAATGTGTGTTTTTAACCATCCCAATTTTATTTATTGTGTTGTAGGCATGGATAGCCGAACAGAAACTGACTTTCGAGAAGAGGAAGCAAGAAGATCTTATGCAGGCATACCTGAAAGAACAGGACACTTACAACAACAGGTCTGAAAAAAAGTATACTTGGTTAAGAAAGTTACTTTCACTGTGTTTTTATATAGCTATCATAACACCTAGCTTATTTAAATCTATTTTAAGTGACGTCAGATATTGTAAAACTTGTTTTCATTATTTCCCGTGCTTATTTTAGCAATAAGACTACATGCTGATGAATCTTGTACAAACCGGATTCCAAAAAAGTTGGGACATTAAACAAATTGTGAATAAAAACTGAATGCAATGATGTGGAGATGGCAAATGTCAATATTTTATTCGTAATATAACATAGATGACAGATCAAAAGTTAAATCTGAGTAAACGTAACATTTTAAAGGAAAAATATGTTGATTCAAAATTTCACAGTGTCAACAAATCCCAAAAAAGTTGGGACAAGTAGCAATAAGTGGCTGGAAAAAGGAAATTGAGCATATAACGAACAGCTGGAAGACCAATTTTTTTTTCATTTTCATTTAGCCTTTATTTATCCAGGTTAGTCTCATTGAGCCACGAGAACTCATTTTCAAGAGAGACCTGTTTAGGGAGCACATGGTGGGGGTTAAGGGCCTTGCTCATGGGCCCAGAGTGGGGCGAATGAGGGTGGGGGCAAGTGTGGGTGTTTCACCTACCCCACCCTCACTTAATTAACACTAATTAGGTCAATTGACAACATGATTGGGTATAAAAAGAGCTTCTCAGAGTGTCAGTGTCTCTCAGAAGACAAGATGGTCAGATGAGTCACGATTTTAAGTTCTTTATGGAACACTGGGACGCCATGTCATCCGGACCAGAGAGGACAAGGATAGCCCAAGTTGTTATCAACGCTTCGTTCAGAATTCTGCATCACTGATGGTATGGGGTTGCATGAGCGCTTGTGGCATGGGCAGCTTGCATGTCTGGAAAGGCACCATTAATGCAGAGAACTATGTTCAGGTTCTAGAACAACTTGTGCTCCCATCTAGACGTCATCTCTTTCAGGGAAGACCCTGCATTTTTCAACACGATAATGTCATACCACATTCTGCAGCAATCACATCATCATGGCTACATAGGAGAAGGATCCGGGTACTGAAATGGCCAGCCTGCAGTCCAGATCTTTCACCTATAGAGAACATTTGGCACATCATAAAGAGGAAGTTGTGACAAAGAAGGCCCAAGACGATTGAACAGTTAGAGGCCTGTATTAGACATGAATGGGAGAGCATTCCTATTTCTAAACTTGAGAAACTGGTCTCCTCTGTCCCCAGACGTCTGTTGAGTGTTGTAAGAAGAAGGGGGGATGCCACACAGTGGTAAAAATGGACTTGTCCCAACTTTTTTGGGATTTGTTGACACCATGAAATTTGGAAACAACAGATTTTTCCCTTAAAATGATACATTCTCTCAGTTTAAACTTTTGATCTGTGATTTGTTTTATTCTGAATAAAATATTAGATGTTGGCACCTCCACATCATTGCATTCAGTTTTTATTCACAATTTGGTTAGTGTCCCAACTTTTTTGGAATCCAGTTTGTAGATATGTTCCTAAAACCTCTGTCAAATTCACATTTTTACAAGAGTAGTCAGTTTGTTTACTTAGTAATATGCTGCAATGGATGGATGCATGGATTTAGAGAAATTTTCAACAAGTTGTTTTCTCATCTGCAGGCTGTTGATGGGGGATGATCGTGTTAAAAATGGCCTCAATTTTATGTATGAGGCTCCACCTGGAGCATCGAAGGGTAAATTTCTTGCACAACTCAACTCTGACTTCTACAAAATATCAACTCCATTGATTTTTAAGGTCACCCTATTTAAATATTAAATACATGATCTGTTCTTTTCCTCACCATATCCTGCTTCTGACTTGAAGAGGAGAAGAAGGAGGTAATGTAGAAAAATAATTAAACTTTAATCCTCAAACAAAACTGCTAGAGCTCTTGTGTTAATCGTGGGCTCTCAGAAAGCCTGGAAAATAAGTTTTGTTTGTAAATGTTCATTTTGTTATTATGGTTATCAATGTTTATGAACTGCAGCTAATAACTGCAGATAGAAAATAGTATTTCTGATGGGAATACATTTAAATGAACATAAATTAAATGTCCATGTCATATTAAAAAAAAAAAAAGTAAAAACAAAACGGTTTGACTTCTGTTTTGAAGCTGAAGATGTTTCTTCCCATCTGGGAGGCTTTATCAATTCACAAATGAATGGTGTGTGTGGACTTCCAAGCTTTATAGAACTGCATGAGAGGCCTGGTTGTGTAAGCAGCTGCAGATTAGACTAAAACTACTTGTCCCTCTAATGGAGACTCGTTAGGCTCTTTGTCTGCCTGGCTCATGAGAGATGTTTTGATCACCTGCATGAAGGTGTGAATTGAAGAGGAGTTGACCTGGAATCAGGCCTAATGCTGCATTGTGTTTGTTTCTTCTTGATTGATGTAAATGGCTTCCTTCAACACCCTCTCAAACCATATTTATTCTCTGTTTAAAATATGAACATTTTGGTCCTCAAAAGAGTGTGTCTCGTCCTTGAGGTGTAGGTGGACTGCTGAGCTGCTCTCCGGTTGAGCCATGCGTCTGTGAACAGGTTGTTTAGTTTCTCCAGGAGAAGTCTGAACATTCGCTGCACTGACCTGCAGACACCACACTGCTCAGTTTGGGTTTGGGGGTTCTGTCCTTGGGATGGACCAGCCTCTGTCTGAAGGTCCTGTTGGGTTTAAAATGTACCATGATGTTGTGTTTGGAGGAAATCCTTCCGAGTATTTCAGATATTCCAGCAACATTTGGGATGACGGTGTTTTAGTGTCGTCTCTTTTCTCTGTTCTGTTCTGCAGTGGGGGGGGGTTTTCTCCATGTTTTTTTCATTTATTCATTCATTTAAATAAACAAAATAAACAAAACAAATTCATCAAAAAGACAAAGCATTGAATGAAAAGGGTGCAGACAGAAGAAAAATATTATTATAATATCTGCCCCTTATTTAAAAAAATAACTACAAAACGAACAACAACCTACACTTGAACAATCTCCAAATTGAAAACAAAAAACATCAGACATCCTTCACCTGGCACCATGCCTTCCCAACAACGTTAACTTAATCATCTTTTTAAACATATAAATTGTTTTTAGAATTTTTTATGGTGATATCGAGGCAATTCCACAATCCTGTTCTATCTAGATTCTATATCTAATCCTATCCTGATTTTTGATTTGTTTGCTAATTTAACGACGGCTCATTTAGGATATCCACAGGTTTGGAGAGCTTCTTTCATGCGTTTCTGTTCCTTCTGTCTTTGTGTGGACATGTTCGGGCTGGTGGTGTAAAGTCCTGATGACAGAAAGTTTGTGTTCCAGCGGGTGGTGAGAGTCAAGCAGAAGGTTCTGATCTGTGCGAGTAGGTTTCCCGTGAATTTCAGCATTGAGGTTTCCATCTCTTTCCACGTTCACCAAATGGTCCAGAAAAGGCAGCTTGTTGTTGTCGTCATCCTCTCTGGTAAACTTGATGTTGTTGTCCACAGAGTTGAAGTGTCTGCTGAACGCTTCTACTTCTTTTGCAAGGATTTTGACACAAGTGTCATCCACAAACGTGAACCAGTGTCTGTGTTGTTCCCCTGACAACACCGGGGATGACATGTATCCCCTGTCATATGTTCATCGTGTATGCATAAAACAGTTTAAAATGTATGCTTTAAAGTTTTCTATTAAGAATTATGTAGATTATGACAGTCTCCTAACAGTTTAAAATGTTTGTTGACTGAGTTATTGTTAAACACCCGACTGTGGAAATATCAGCTAAAATAGCACTTGTTATTTCAGAGCCTGGTGGGTTTTTTTTTTTTTTTTTTGTTGTTGTTGTTGGTTTTATTAAAAAATTATTTAAAATGTTTGTTTTTCAGGAGGGAGGAGAAGAAGAATACAAATTTGAGTGGCAGAAAGGAGCCCCTCGAGAAAAGTAAGTGGTAGATTTTATCATTCAATGTTTGAGTTGTCTGAAGTCAAAATTTCTATTTTTTTTACGTCTGACCTAATCGTTTTATTTTTCTCTTGTAGGTATGCAAAGGATGACATGAATATTCGAGATCAACCCTTTGGAATCCAGGTAATTATTTGCCTTTGTATACACACACACACACAAGGTAAGGTTAACACTCGGCCTCAATAATTAAACTGGATTTAATGAAGTTGAGGATACTTATTTTGATATCAGAATGTTACAGGAAAAAGTCTCGTAATGCTTGAACCACATGTGCACATGAATAGTTTTGGGTTTTTTTGTGTGTATGTGTGGACTCTTTTTTTTTTTAAGGATCAAGACAATAAAAGTGAACAACAATATACTTTTAATGATCTCCTGTTTATTGACAAATCAAAACCGTGGCTTTTGCATTTTACCTCTACATGTTCAACCTTGCAGAGCAGAACTAGGACACAGGAGCAGCTTATCTTTTCAGACCTGAAGCGATGTGTGCATGCATTTCATTTTCAGGCCTGTTGCAAAGTCAGCTGTGAACTATTTAGATAATAAACTTAAAGTCTAAGTCAGTAATAAAAAAAAATAGTTAAAATCTTTATTGCTATATATTGACTGTGTATTTGTTGTTTTAATTTTTTTGTGGTTTAATTCCTTAGGTGCGCAACGTGAGATGCATCAAGTGTCACAAGTGGGGTCATGTGAACACGGACAGGGAGTGCCCCCTGTTTGGACTGTCGGGCATCAATGCTAGCTCTGTGGCCTCAGAGGACACTGCAGGTATATATTATATCTGTTTAAAGCAATTTAGAATGTTTTCCATCAGTTTCATTTTTTAAGTGTTTTATTTGTTGTTATCTATGCAAATTTATAATATAAAATAAAAAACTTTTAACTGTCAGAATTAACTTCGGTGCCCTTTTATGTACACATTTTATTTGAATGTTTTTTTGTCATGAGCAATAATTAAAGGTAAAATAGCACAGATATAAGAGTAACACTGTCGGTGATAAATTTTGATGAAGGGCTATATGTATTCAATAAACTATGATTTCTCAATAAATATTTATTTATGATAAGTGTTTCTTTTAGCAGGATTCAGAATGTGGAGCGTCGAATAGCTCGTTTGTTGTAGCAGCTTCTATCTGTCGAGCTTTTTTCCTACAGTTTTTCTGCTCAGCCTTCAGCTCCAGACCTGGAGCTGATTCTGAGTTCTGCAATCAGCCAGTTGAGTTGTAAAGTAATAATGTTTACCCTGGGAGAGTCCAGTCGGTGGGGTTGATGGTGGAGTGCTGTAATGGTCCCCCTCCTGTGCTGGGAGAAAAATAAGTAATTATTGTGTATTCTGATTCCCCTAACTGCCGCTTTGGCAGAGAATGATATTGTATGATTTGCTCAGCCGGAAGTGGAGTGAGTTGATTTGATGTCCCATTCTGTTAACAAAGCCGCCTGTGAAATTCCCACTGGGGAGATAGTGGATGGTGTGGGCTCGACATCAATGGGACTCTGAGGCTGTGATTTGTGCCCAACAGGTCCGTCGATGCACCCCTCCGAGTTAATGGCCGAGATGCGAAACAGTGGGTTTGCCCTGAAAAAATGTGTCCTTGATAGGAATTCTACTGTTTGTGATCCATCACAGGTAATTGTCTGTCTCAGTGTCATCGCGGTGCACATAAGACAATATACAAACACACATACTACCCTTAGCGTTGGGCTACCCTTGAGAAAGAGAACGATGAAACAAAAGCTGTGGTAGACTACATGACGTGCATTTTCTGAAATGTGTTATTGGCGTAGCCGACGTCAAACAGATGTGGAAAAAAAGTATTTTCAACCCTCATCAGCTGGTGCAGTCGTTCATTTTGGTTCTGAGTATTGTCCATGTTTTATACTTTTAACAGGAATATGTTGCCAGTGAAGAAGAAGAAGATCCTGAGGTGGAATTTCTGAAGTCTTTAACGACTAAACAAAAACAGAAACTCCTCAGGTAATTACACTAAATGTTTATTTATTTTATTATGTCCTGATTTAAGTGGATAACGCTGAAATGTAAATATTGACATATTTGAATATTTCCTTTTTAATAGGAAAATAAATCTAAATATCACTGTAATGTTTTGTATATATTTTGTGGAAAAAATTGAAAGAAAATAAAGCTTGTATAGTAAACGCATCACATTGTTACTGCACATTTCTCCATCATTACTTACCGTATAATGTACATTTATTCTAAAAGCTTTAAGTACTGAAACTTGATCAACATGGCATTGTCAGTATTGTAGAGGATTGCAATTAATTGCGGATATAAACATGCCAATCAATTTTAATATTTCACAATCACATACACCTCCATTGCCATAAAATCCTACAGATGATTTATTTAATTGAAGACCAGGCTAGACACGTGGAAAGAGTTGTAATGAGAAGAAAAATTATCTCAGCTGACAGTTTGCAATAAAATAAAACGCAACTTTGTTTTGTTAAGCTCATGTATCTGTTGTGCTGTTAAAATGTTGATCTAATGTTTCCTCTCTTGTTTACAAAGAAAACTGGACCGGTTAGAAAAACAGAAGGGAAAGAAAAAGAAGAGCAAAAAACAGAAGAAGAAGGGCAAAAAGAAGCACAAGAAAAAGCAGGATAGCAGTGAGAGCTCGAGTGAATCGTCCGATGCCAGCAGCGGCAGTGATAGTGACTCGGACTCAGACAAGGGCAAGTCCAAGAGTCAAAGGAGAAATAATAATAAGAAGAAAGAAGATTCCTGTCGGGATAACAGCTCTGACAACGAGCGGCGAATCAAGAGTCAGAAAAAGGCCTCCTCTCACAGGAGCAGGTCACCGAGCCCCCACGCTGGACATAAGCGGCCTAAAGAGGAGTCTGGAGATTATAGACAAAGAAGGACAGAGAGGCGAAGGAGCTGGAGTCGGAATCGCAGCCCCGAGAACAAGATCACGGCGGAGGGAGGTCAAGAGAGGAGGAGGTGCGACAGCAGGGGCAGCCAGACAGCCAGCAGCTCCAAGGATGGGTTGGACAGAAGTGGAAGCCGTGAGAGAGGCAGGCAGGACCGAGGTAAAGACAGACGTCACAGCGGAGACGGTGAGCGGAGCAGAAGAAGCACAGAAGGAAACAAAGGCAGGACAGCTGAGAGGAGGAGCAGAAGCAGAGAGAGGAGAGATGAAAGAGAGGACAGGCGGAGGAGCAGGAGTAGAGACGGAAGTAGAAGACGGCACTGACATTTTATTTTTTCATTTACTTTTTCCTCTTTTAATCCAAAAGCAAAACTAGCTGCATGAAACTGATGCTTTTGTTTTTTGTTTAATGACTTTGAAATGTTAGAAATTCTGTTGGATCTGCTTAAAATGTTGCAGGACAGATGGTGTGTCGGTCTCACTTCCCTCCAGCAGGGGGCAGCAGTGAACAGCAAATACCTGCAGCTCCGGGTTCTGAAGGGATTTAATCCTGAGTAAAAATATATAAATCAATTACCATTAGAAACAATTAGCCGCTCATCTGTTTATAGAGAAATGTTGAGATTATTTTCACTCAGTGGATCAAAAATATGACGAGCTGTCTTTTTTTTTCTTATATTTTCCCGTCATTGTAATGTAAAAATTGATTGTGCTTAAAAAAAATAAAGGTTTTAATTTCTGCAAAAATTTTAAACATTAGTATTTGTATTTATTTATTTGACAGAATTATTGCCTGACATTTTAAATTAAATTGTTGAAATTTATTTTAGTTTGAGAGGCTTTGAATACAGGTAAGATTAATTTTACTCAAAATATTTATGGACATGTTTTATAAGCAAATAATTTCAGACAAATTAGGGGTTTGCTGACAAAAGGACATTTTGTGTGTTTTGCTTCCATAAAATTAGACTTTTACCGCTTTAAAGCCCAGTTATTATTGACAATAAATACATTTATTTCTCTGTAAAAAATAAAAAAAAACATTTACAGAGTAAATAATGCTGGCCTTTGTATTTATTTATTTTTGCTGATTTATTTTCGCGTGATGTAAAAACTATTTTATATTCAATTGTATTTGTAATTGATTTTATTTGCCGTTATTCTGACATTTGAAAAACTCGTTTGTTTTATTTAAAACGGGGAAAAAAAAACAGCATTTGTATTTTGAAAATGTCATGATTAAATTTGACAACAAAAACAGAAAATTGTCCATTTTAGCTTGAGCGTTTCTTTTATATATATTTATTTTAATAAATATAAATTGAAGGCATAATGCTTTTTTTTTTTTTAAACAATTTGTCACTTTTTTTTTTTGCTATAGCTTTTGCACAAAAGGAAATGAAAATAATTCCCCCTCTATTGCCTTCTGCTCAATTTAACATCCTCCTTTAAAAGAAAACAGCTGTCTGAATGAGATGCTTTTCCTTGACGTGTTCCCGCTCCCCTGGATTCACTGTAATTATTATTCTCCCCTTTTTTCCCTGGGAGTCGGACGCTGCACTGGGTAAGCACAAAGAAGTCGGAGAGCATCCTTGAACCCTTTCAGTGAGGGGCCACTGATATTCAAATAACACGCAGGGGCCATTTGACTGCGCCGCGCAAAAAGCATTTAAAACCAACATTTGCATTTGACTTTTTGGCCCTTATTTTTCTGAGGTGGAAAAAAACTCTTCCTCTACTTTGTGGTTTCTATAAATAATAATAATAAAAAAAGCATCCTTATTCTGCGATTGGTATGCAAATGAAAGCAGTTAATTTGGACAATTAGAATAAATATTCAGGGACCTTTTTGCCATAGAGCCCCCCCCCCCCCCTCCCAGATAAAGTGAAAGGGAACAATAGATGTCTCAGAGATCAATTAGATAGTTGATAAGACACGAATCCCTAATCGCAAGTACAAGACGCATGGGGGACAACGTGCTCCAAGTCATAATTAATAACATTTAACAAGGTTTTCATTTGGCCATGAAATGTCTTTTTTTGGGGGGAATGAAACATGAATTTATTCCATTGAGGGGGAAAATCAAGCTATTTAAAAGAAATAAAACAAAAACATTGTAAAATAAATGCGCAAATAAATGTCAGATTAGAAGAAAAAAATGTCAAACCTACACACAAATACAGATTTTTTTCTCAGATGTTTTAATTACGATAAATGAAAGTTTTATACGTGTGACTTTATACAGGTAAACATTTATATATAGTTTTTTTTTTTTAAGCAAAAGAATCAAATGGTTAACAAAAAGTGGAAAAACAAAAAGGCTGTGTACATACATATATATCCACAAAAGTGCGTCGGAAAGTAAATTCCCTGATTTCCAGGATACCAACACGAATAAAACAATCAGAGCTTATGACATTTACATGAGAAGAACACAGAGTTTAGGAGGTCCATATACAAGCTGGGACTCACACAGTCCGAACCAGAGTCAACAGGTTTTACGCGCAGCCAAGTCTTCAGAAAAATCGGTGTTTTCTTGAAACGGATTTATGGATGAATATTGCGCCTATATATATTTTAATCATGTTTATTTTAATTATTTTCTCTTGTTCTGTGTGTCAAACCCGTTTTCATTGCTGTGCTTTTTTTTTTTTTTTTCCCCCATTATAATTTCTCACTGCTTCCATTCTGGGTGCAGACTCAGGGCTCGTCGTGAGGAGACGGATCCTTAACCGTGATTCTGGGGTTCACCCCCTCCAAAATAAGTTCCGGGGACTCGGACCTCGGGGTCTCCAGGTTGCTGGTGTCGGTGTCACTGTCGCTGCCCTTTTTGCCTCCTCCGCCCGCCGTGTGCGTTTTGATGTGCTTGCTCAAATGGTCACTGCGCATGAAGCGCTTGTTGCACACGGGGCACGCGAAGCGCTTCTCGCCGGTGTGGGTCCTCAGGTGTCTCTGCAGCTCATCGGACCGAGTGAACCTTTTGCCGCAGAAAAGCCAGTTGCAGACAAAAGGCCTCTCGCCGGTGTGCCACCTCAAGTGCGCTTTCAGGTGAGAGGTCTTTCCGTACACCTTCCCGCAGCCCGGGATGTGGCAGCTGTGGAGTCCCTTTCTCCGCAGACTGGCCCCCGCGGGCCCCAGCCGCTCGGCCTCCTGGCAGTTCGGACAGTCACACGTTGCTCTGCCGGAGTACCGCCTGGAGGATCTAGAGGAGCTGCTAATTCCTGAGCCGCCCCCTGAAATCATGGCGTTGGCGGCGGAAGCGTCCGTGTATGTGGGGATGACGGTTTTGAAGCCGTCCTGGGTTAACAGGTGCTGGCTCGTGGACAGCAGGTGGGACGCGGACGGGCTGATCCCCGTGGAGCTGAACGCGGAGTGCGTCAGCGACGAGAAGTCCGGGTTGTAGCCGCTCAGCTGGGAGTGGATGGCCTGCGGCGTCCCGGAGTGCAGCGAGGTCTGCAGGGTCCCCGCGGGATTCTGCACGTCCAGCCACGAGCCCGGGTTGCTGTGGACGTCCCACCACGAGGAAGCCCCGTTGGTCACGTCGCCGGAGATGGTGGAGTGGAACCCAGACTTGTACCAGGACTCGTACGGGTGCGCCATGCCCACCCGCGGGTACAGAGTCTCCGCCGACGTATGGACTTTGGAGATGAATGCCGACTGGCCGGACTCCTGCGTCGTGACGCTCGCGGAGTTGGAAAACAGCCCGCTGTACTCTGTGGAGAAGGCAGAGGAGGTCGGGGAGGTGGAGGCTAAGCAGAAGGCGCTGTTGCCCGCGCCGTTGCTCGCTGTCAGTCCCGTGGAGGCTCGGCTCGTGGCGACTGTGAAGCCCGGCAGGCTGGAGCCCAGGTTGCAGCTGGAGGAGGACCTCTTCCACGGGTGGAATCCACCTTTGGAGAAAGCGCTGGAGTCAGGTAAAGTTGTCAGAGGGCTCGTGTTACCGATTTTGTTGCAAGTTGCAGCCAACATAGCTAATGGCGTAGTTCCAAACCGCGGCTCTTCCTGAAAAAAAAAAAAAAAATGCAGAAAAAAGTTTTACTTTAAAAATTAAAACTGAATAAAAAACTCAAAACAAAAAAAAAAAAAAAAAAAAAAAGCGAGAACTCTGTATTATTTAGTTGGCTACAACATATAAAGTTTTCCCTGTTAATGCGTTTACAACAACAAAAACATAAACAAACAAATAAACATTTTATAAAATATGATCCACACTTGAGCAGACCAACCACAGCAAAGTTTGCGCAAACACTAAACGATCTCAAAGTTAATTTCAACAACAAACGAAGTGAAATAGTGACACCCTGCATAACATTTTCTGCTTCTTACTGACAAACATCAAAATGTTCATGTTTACTAAAAGCTGAAAACTTATTTAGCCGTAGGAACAGAGCAGGAACTTCGTGCGTAACTTTTGCGCGTAAAGCCAGAACTTACCCCAAGTATAGACGTAGCCATATCCAGGCTCTGCGCGGTGATGAGCGTGCTCGCGGGGTCCAGGCTGTGTGACTCCAATTTGATCCAGGTTTGTCGGCCCGTGTTGACTCGGGTCACACGGTTTCTCTCCTGGCTCGCAGCTCACCAACACTACCTTAGTTGTAGCGAGCGTGTTCTTTGAAGTACAGCTGGAGAGGACGCGCAGCCAATCTGCGCGCTGCACTCGCGGCTGGGGAGGCAGCTGTCAGCCAATGAGAAGCCCGACCGCAGACAGAAACAGCAGAAAGTCCTCCGTCAATCATGTGCAGTGCAGCCTCTCTGCTCACACTGTCATCCAAGACACCGTTTGATATATGTATATATTTAATGCATACAGTTATTTTTATGTTTTCTCACACGAAGGCGCAATGTGTCTCTTTTCGTTGCAGAATTGAGCTCACGCGTCAAATCTCCAGGAGGTAAGCGTCTCACTCATTTTATTAGTGGCGCTCTGGGCTTTTATTTCTTATTTGTCCTATTCGGATCATGCGCAATGCGTGTTGGGGGGGGGGGGGGGGGGGGGCGCAAACATATGTTCATTTGAGCTCAAACTTTAGGAGTTAACGTGGAGATGACTTTATCCGAAATTTGCGCGCAACCGATGTTGGCGGGTGTATGTAATTGGCTCATTTTAGTGAATAAATTAGCATTCAACGGGGTCTGTGTCATCATTTTAATGTGACTGTGTTCATTTTTTATGAATTAGGCGCAGCAGAAGTTTAGAAATCAGGCCTGCCGGTGCAGAACTCCCCTCTGGAAGAATGCGTAAAAGCGTGCCAAGAAAAACAGAAAATGACGCATTTTTGATGATTTTTGTCTTTTATTATTATTATTTTTATTTATTTATTAATGTCTATAAAATCCACGTGTCTGTGATTGCGCTGCGCACTTGTTGGGGGGCTGGGGGTGGGGTGGTGCGGGGGGTCGAGCAGGTGAGGGGTTAATTAAAAACGACAGCTTGTCTCATCAGCGCGTTCACGGGATCTCATTTGAAAAGATTTATAAAGTTTCAGGGGGAAAAAAGACATTCCCGCTCTAAACAAGAGGAGGTGAGAAAAGTACATTTTAACTGTAACCCAATGAAACATTAAATTAAAATAAATAAGATTAAATATGTTACAATTTTCCCCAAGAGATCTTCATGTTTTCCTCTTTGGGGAGCTTATTACAATTCAATAAGCCATATTCTACAGCTTGTTAAAACGTCCAGTGATAATAATGTAAAACTGACTCGCTCTCGTGTGGTTCATCATCATCCCCTTTTAAAAGTTAAAGCAATTTCCCAGAGAAAAGGCTCGACAGAAAGATGTGCATTACTGGATTCAAAGAAACGCTATTATGGCGCATGAATGCTGCCAGTAAACACAGGCGCAAATTGTTCAAATCCCCCTCTCTTTTAAAGCCCCACCTTTGGATGGTTGAATAAAAATCAGTCTCATCAACAACTGAACAGCCAGGAAAATTGAATCTGTTTTTTTTTTTTTTTTCAATCCTGACAATTTGCCAGAGTGCTGTTAACAGTATTAACTGGCTTTTCTGCAGAAGCAGAGTTGATTGCTGCTCAAGGAGAGTTAGATTCATTCTAACAGAAAACTTAAAAGCATAACAAATCAGGAAAATATAGCTCCACTTTCATAAAATAAACTCTTTTTCTGCTTATTATTTTTATTCATAATAATAAAACTTTTATATTAAAATCAAACCCTCACACTGATAATGCTGTTCACTCATATTTTGCTTTTATTGCCTTTGGTGGTAATTTTTTTTCTCCGGGGTTTTTTTTTTTTTTTTGGCACAAGAGGGGAGAACATGATCCCTCCTTGTCATTCAAGTGAGAATTCAGAGTTGGATCTGTAATTCTGGTCTGCATTCGTGAGCACTTCTCCGTGGCAATTAGGAGCCCATTACAAGCCATTAGATTGATCAATGTACCTTAAACAATGGGTATGATTTATTTGGTCGAACAAAACGCTCTGCATCTATTGTGATGAGTCGAAGTGGGGGTGCATCCATCAACAAAAGATAAATGATTAATTCAGAGCTGTTCGTTTCAAATTCTTCTCGACAAAGCGCACCCCCTTGCACTTGCTTGAAAACCCAGATTATTAGAGCCTCATTTTGTGCACGTTAAATCAGCCAGGGCTGCCGGGTTGGCCGAGGCTTTCTGGTTGTGCCCCTGTGCATTTTAATTTGTGCGTCTGCAGAGGGAAGTTTATTTGAGGATGTTTAACTAATTGTTGTAATTTTCCTGCGCTCATGTGGCTACACCTGTTTCTCTCCGAGGGGGGGTTAGAGCAAAGTACGTGTGAAAGGATGCTGTGCGCTTAATGTGGCGATGAAGCTCCACTTGGATCAGGGAAGGTAAAAACAAAAAGAAATCTGGGAAAAACGTGTCGCATCAAGAGGGTTAAAAGAGGAGTCTTTCTTCTCTCCTTAAATGTGTGTTGAAATGCACTGTTTCTCATCTCAGTTTTTCTGGAATTTCTGCAAAAGAAAATTAGTTTATCATTCATTAAAGTATAAAATGAAACAAACTATAAAACAATGGGGATTCACAACTGTAGAACATGGCATCATAGCACTGTTCAACCTGCCAGCACTGGTTTGCAAATGTCTTCAGATTCAGGACTGGTGAATAAATGTCAGTATAATCCAGCCGGACCTCTGACAGGGCTTAAGTGAGCTTTAATACACGTAGACGCTCATTAACCTCACTAATACTACCCACAGCTAAATTTGAAGGTGCGGGTCAGCTTGCCATGCAGCTCACAGTGTCAACTTACATTTCCAGAGGCGGCATGTTCTATTTCGAGCCCACTGCAAGAGAGCGTGGACGCTGGAGTGCAGTCGGCTGCTCACATTCGAGGACTTGTAGTTTCTTCTTTTCTCTTTCCTGCAAATGAATGCACGTGCCTGAATTTGTGATAGATATCGAGTCAAACCTGAGCGTGAGGCATGGCTCCCAAAAAGGTGTGTTTTTGTCAAATGAAAAGGGATTTTTAAACTGGTAAGCACCGTGGATCACGAAGAACAGGAAGCGTTGAACTTAACTGCAGACTTTTCCATACTTTCTTCATCAGGGCAAAGGAGATGACGTAGCGAAGCCACCTCCACTGATTGGAAGGTTTGGCACCTCGCTGAAGATAGGCATTGTGGGCCTGCCTAATGTTGGGTAAGTATTATTTGTAGTTTTCTCTTTACAACAGTTATTTTGAGCCTCATTATCGAACATATTGCCCTTTTTCATGAGTATAATATGTTTAAAGCAGGATATAAACAAAGTAAGAAAAAAACCATTCCATTTTAAAACAAAAACTTTGGACTGTTTTCCAAATTTCATCCAAAAACGTCTCCAAAAGGAAACTTTTCCACTTTGTTCCAGCCACACTGCAAACTAAACAGTTCTGAACTAACATGTGCAACGCTGTGGAAGAGACAAACATATTATTAGAGTAAGATGTTAACCTGCAGTTAGACTGGTAAAGAGTCTCCACAACCTTCATCTTTCCTTTCATGCATATTGACTTTCTCTCGATTTAAGCTTTACCCTTCATGTAGTCTTTTACCATCGCACATCAGGCACTGTGACAGTAAAGAGCTAAAGCATCCTGCATACGTGAATTTACTTGTAGATTTGATTCTTGCAGCACAACCACATAACACTTGATGTACTGTTAACATCTCACCAGTAGAGAGAGTGCAGCTATATCAGTATGTCTAAGAATTATATATTTATAAATTAATGACTGCACTTCAGCAAACAAAAACATCTTACTTCCTGGTCCGTGTATTATTGTTACAGAAAGTGGAGCTGAATAGGGAAATCTATCAATTAACTCATGTGTCCATTTGTTTTGAGCTCATTGTGGCATACAGGTCAAAGGTCAGGCGACATCCTAGACAACTCTGTGGGCGAATCACTGTGTGAGACTAATACAGTCACATCTCAGGGGTTTGTGTGTGTGTGTTGGCAGATCAGACTTAATCAAACAAATCTATTTTGTCAACCTGTATGAAGATCGTTCCTGACAAAAAGGACATTTTGACCCTGTCCTGCCTCCCTGTAGCTTTATTTTACAGGCACAGCAAAAAAAAAAAAAAAAAAGAATAAAAAAAATCTTCCAATCGGGCTCTTATATTCAATTTTTCAAATCAGAACTGCTGTTTTACAAAACGGCTCATTATGACGTGTACTATATCCCTGCTATTGTTTTAATTTAAGTATTGACAAGCTTGAAATGTATTCTTTCAGCGTTCTACGTGGATTTAAAGAAGGATTTTCAGTTCAGTTTTTCTGAAGTGCGTTCATGTGTAAGACGGTAGCATGCAAGGTTTTACAGGCTACTGTTAAATGAGCCCACTAGTGTCCAGTGTTTTCATTTCCCACTGCAGGGAAACCACAACTTCTTCCTCTTATAAGAAGAAGACGTTCAGGTTGTGGCCTGCCACACCACATCTGTGTCAAAGCAGAGCCTCGCTATGGTTTCTCTGCAGATGAGCTGATGTGAACCAGCTGTTAGCGCAGTGCAACAGAGAAGGCCTTTTAGGAAAGTGGCTGCTGGTCTAGTTCATATGTGGGAGAAAGTTTATTTTTTGTGTATTTAACTCTTTATTGAGGCATGTAGGCCACACTGCTCCCAAATCTCCTGCACGTTATGAGTCAGTAGATTCACAAGATCGTGTATTTTTATGTGCATCAGTTTTCATTTCCTGTATTTTTCCATTTCTTTAGATTTTGTATGGTGTTTATTTTTTAACTTTTTTTCACACAGAAAATAAAAATGTTGAACTTTAAATCAGGCAGTTTACAGCAGGATGAGCAGATGAACAAAATAGTCAGTAAAACAAAGATGCTCATGCATTCACGTTCTGAACTACCTGAAATACATCAGCTGTGGAAGAGACGGACATCTTATTAGAGTAAGATGTTAAAAACAAAATGAGTTTACATGTTACCATCAGTGTCACCGTTGTAATCGTAACATATCGTGTTTATTTTGTGTTTTTTTCTTCAATGAACGAGTACAAATATATACCAATACTTTTTAACTACTTTGTCGCAAGTTCATCACAGGACCACACAGAGACAAACAAGACAAACAACCATTCACTCTCTCACTCACACCTAGGGACAATTTTAGAGTTACCAATCAGCCTAACATGCATGTTTTTGGTCTGTGGGAGGAAACCGGAGTACCCGGAGAAAACCCACGCATGCACGGAGAGAACATGCAAACTCCACCCAGAGAGGCCCCTGGACCGGGGTTTGAACCAGGGACCTGCTCGCTGAGAGGCAGCAGCTCTACCAGTTGCGCCACCGTGCTGCCCGGTCAAGAATAATAAAATACATATTTTACAGAGATGTATTTGTTTTTACTGTGATCATAATCAAAAATGGGGTTTTGCTTAATTAGCTCAAATCTTTCTTGAAGTTTCTTTTTCTTTTCTTTTATGGATATTATTTGGTAACTAACGTGCATAATTATTCATGTTTTGGTGCACATCTCTGACCTGTTATCATTTATTATGAATTGTTGGTCATAATATTCTCCGATTTGTTGTAGTTTTTATATATTGCACAACATTTTAAGCTAATCATGGTTTGTCACGTTGTGATAACTTGTTTTCCTCTTGGTCACAAAAATGAGCATCAAGATGTGTATGCATTAGAATCCAAAACAATAAATTTAGAAATTAGAAGTGTCTTTCAGCAAATAATCCCATTCAATGTGAAGTGCTGGATGGGATTTTTCTTTGCTGATGTTTTCTTAGAATAAAAATAAACAGAAAATTATCGCGTGAGCCATATTATGAGCGTAAACTCTCTTTCATTTCTATGTTTATTGGCCTTATTTTGTGATAATCTAATGTTGTTACAGGTATTTTACTTTGTTTAACCAAAGAGCTCAAGCCTTTTGTCTATTATAAGAATTTCCCATTTTACAAACAAACAAACAAAGACAGCCTTAAATCTTCTCCTGTGTTTCATGTCCATTTTCTCCAACCATCAGGTTCTACCCAGCAGCACTTTTCGATGCCGTGACCTCAGCACTGTTTTTATTTTCAGGAAGTCGACCTTTTTCAACGTGCTGACAAAGAGTCAGGCCGCAGCTGAAAATTTCCCCTTCTGCACCATTGACCCAAATGAAAGCAGAGTGCCCATTCCAGATGAACGCTATGATTTCCTCTGCCAATTCCACAAACCTGCCAGGTATGGGGTCTCATCCTTCACGCATTATTCCCCCCCTCACATCTGTAGACTGATGGTGTGTTTGCTGTATGAGAAATCATACAACAATGCTGTTGTCATGTAGCTATGGATGTTTTGTGTGACGTCCAAGTGATGCTCTATTCTTGTTTCACAGAAATAAAATCCTGCCGGTGATAATACGTGTTTTATATAGGCTGTTTAAGCAGAGTGAATTCTGTTTTGATGCCCTATACATTATAGACCACCTGAAGTATGAGTCAAATATGAAAAAAAAAAAAAGGTTCAACATGCACATATAACCATACAAATAATACCTTTGTGGAATAAAACACATCTCTGCTTGTCAGCTTCTACCAAGATTATAACACTGGCAGTATTTTACACATCTGCAATCACAAATCAGGAGCTGTTTTATTGAGAATTACCCAAGCAGGTAAACGTTCTCAAGCCCTTCGATAATTCCTCGTTGTCACTGATGTCCACCACACTGAAAATGAATAAAACGCATCAGTAAGCAATCCTGCAGCTTCACGTTGTGGATCAGCAATCTGGCAAATCTGCAAATCAAATCTGGCTTAGTGAGTATTTATCAGAGCTTAGACTGTATATAAGATGTGCAACAACAACAAAAAAGTAAAAGAAATAAGTTTTAGTTCAAAGTTCAAGTTTCTTTATTGCCATTCACATCACATGTGGTACACGAGGTGGAATGAAATGATGTACTCAAGGTCCCAGCTACACCCAAAAATAGCAATAATATAAAGTATACAAAGAAACAGTATATAACGAACTAAGATATAAACTAAGAAATATACAGTAAATAAATGCTAAACACAAGACCTGTCCCATTAAACAATAAATCAATTAATCCCATGATAAATTAAAATGATCAACCTCATTTTTAGTTAAACAGCTTTATCGTTTCTTCATGTCTCTCTCTTTCTACTGAAGACACTGGATGATAAAAGACTCAACTCCGATGTTCTTCACTGACCCCTCCCTTTCTCTTTTCTCTTTAAAATCTGTTTTAACCATCCAAAATCATGTGTTTTTGGATCGTTAAAAGCAGCTAAGTTGAGAAGCTAAGCTATACGAGCTTCCTCGGGGAAAAACCTCCGTCTTGTCGAAGCTCCAAAATTCACGGTTGAAACCTGTGCCTTCGTGTAAAAAGTTGTTTTTCTCTGCAAAAAGAAGCTGAGAACTTCTGAGAACTGAGCTGAGAACTGAGCGTGCATCAGGATAAGCTGAGAACTTGTTTACTGAATTTTATTTATTTATTAAAAGCTTTGTGTGAAAAATGCTATGCTAAAGAACTCAAACCACATGAGGGTCCGCCATGTCACCATGTCAGCCCACGTCACGTCAAGGGGCCTCCCTTCCATTTTTCTTAAAGGGACACACTGCTCGCTGCTCCCTCACTATCCATCCTTCGGTTCAAACAGTCTTATACTGTCATCTGGTGGTCAAACAAGGTACTACACACAAAACAAATCAACATTTCTTCTAAAATTTGACATTTACTAATTATTGTTAAATTTCAAACTATATTATCGTTTATCGCAATAATTTCTGAGCTGATTAATCGCCCAGCAAAATTTGTTATCGTGACAGGCCTACTAAACACTACTAATATAAAATAATATGGTATATTAAACAGCAGCCTGCACATGACTCTGTTGTGAGCAGATGGGTATGAATACAGCAGCATAAAGGCAAGAGATCAGCAGCATAGATAATCAGCAGCACAGATAAGCCACATGTCGCCAAATAAAGCAGCATTACAGTGATTTTATTTTTTTCCTTACAGTGATTATCCTGGTTAAGGATTTATGAGTCTAACAGCCTCAGGGTAGAAGCTGTTCCTCAGTCTAGTGGTTCTACACTTAATGCTCCTTAACCTCCTTCCTGAAGAGAGAGGGGCAAAAAATGTGTGTGCTGGGTGAGTGGGGTCCTTCATGATGCAGGTGACCTTCTTCCTGCCTTTTAAAGATGCACTGATTGCAGTCTTTTGGCCGATCACCTGTCTCTAAAATGTCTGACCTGCCAATTCTGATTTTGGTCGATACTAATTTTGTTTTATAACACTGTCAGGTGTTGTAATGTCACAATGTACCTTCAATTGTCCAATCTTATTTTATTGAAAAACATCCCCTTGAACAATATCCTATAAACAATACAAACTTATTTTAACTGGCCATGAGGTGGTGCTCTGAAATATAAAGGAAGTTTAGACAATTGTTATTAAAACTACAAAAAATCAGTAAAATTGGTTTCTCATGTAAGTATCGGCCGATCTCCGATCTCCCAAAATTAAGGAAATGGGGCCCGATAAATTGTCCGGCTTATTTATCGGGGCACCCCTTATGTAGATGTCTGTGATGGTGGGGAGTCTGACTCCAACAGTCTTCTGTGCAGCCTTCACCACTCTCTGCAAAGCTTTTCTTTCTGCAGCTGTGCAGCCTCCATGCCACACTTTGATGCTGGAGCACAGGATGCTCTCCACTGTACACCTGTAGAAGGAGGTGAGGACTGAGCTTCCTTAGTTGGCCATTAAGAGACAGTTTGAGATAAACATTTGAATGATATGTAACTGGGACTAACAAAAAGAAAGAATAAAAGCACTGGTAGTGATCCTCATCCCAGTGCACTGCTCAAATAAACATTCAAACAGAAATATTATGAACATCAAGCTGCATAAATATCTGTTTATTATATTTTGTTAATATGCTATTGGGTATATTCATGAAGTTGTTTTCAAATTAATTAAATTCAATTAAACATGTTTGTGCACATCTGTTGTGAAAAGGTCCTAAAACTAAAAGCATCACTAATGAACAAACATGGAAGAACAATGTAGCAGCAGAAGGAACTGAAGAGCTTTAAGGAAAACATTGAGAACACTTTAATAGTGAAGCATGGTGGTGGCAGTATAATGCTGATGTTTGTTCATTGGCAGCCAAGGGAAGCAGGTTATAAACATAAAAAAATCAGATATTTTCTAAAAGTAAAGCAGTTCATGTTTGGAAGGGGGCTCACGTTTAAGCATGAAACTAATTATCATCAAAATACTGAAGAATTTTGGTTCAAACAAGCTCATCGAATGATTTTGTTTTTGTCTTAACTCTACTTTATTCCAAATATACTTAAATATGTTTTTAACAACGTTCAAGCTGTAATACAACAACCCTGGTATAAACATTAAGCACTCCAATAGTGTGCAAGTCTAAAAAGAACAAAAGGGTTAAATATTAAACAGAATTTTCTGTTTTTAGTTTCATTTTGTGGAATCAGTAAAAAAAAAAAAATAATAAATAAATAGAAAGACTTTAACATTTAGTTTGAAATGTTTGTGTTAAAACTGTGCTATTTTAATTTTTTGTATTTATTCATTTGAACAATACATTTTGAACGTTTGCGATAATACAGTTATTGTTAAAAAACCTCCTGTTTGTTTATTTGTTTGTTTGTTGTGCACATCTCACACTGATTTGGAGTCCAACCAGCAACATTTCAATCTAGAAATTACCCTTGAATTAAATGTGCATCCCGCTGAAACTTGAAATATCCTCTAAATTAAGAACTAAATAGGGAAGTTTTGTTTTAATCTTTATCATTTTTTTATTTTTGCAGTAAAATCCCAGCGTTCCTTAATGTTGTTGACATTGCTGGTCTGGTGAAAGGTGCTCATGCTGGCCAAGGCCTGGGAAATGCCTTTCTGTCCCACATCAGCGCCTGCGATGGCATCTTCCACATGACACGTGAGTCACAACGTGTTTCACTATATAGATGTTTATACTTCCATGAAGGGGATATTAGATATATGAAGGACTGCATATTTTAAATAATAACTAACGTGATTCATTTGGTTCTGATGAGAGTCCACCACCGGTCCCAAATTAAAGTTTCACTGGAGGACATTTTGCATTGCAGCTGCTAATATTAACAAAACAGAATTAATGAAATCGAATAAAATCTCATATTTTGCTGGAAAGAATAGACTTTAACTCCAATTTTTTTTCTGAGGCTTTGAAATATTAATGTGGAGTAAAACCATACATTGCAATCCTAAAGTAAAAAAGAAAAAAAAAGAGGTAAGTGATCAATAATTGACTTGTTTTTCTCAGCATTTTATCTTGCATAACATAGACCTTTCTAAACCCTTTGGGTCATTTATTTTTAACTTTTTTTTATTATTATTAGTCTTAATTTATGTTTTTTTTATTTCTACTTTAAGGCCACTCAGCGAGACAAATGTCAGAAAAATTTTCTCAGCTATTCCTCTGCTTCCAGTTTTTCTGTCTTTCCCACGCTACTTGTCTTGGGCAATTAAAGTGTTGCACGCTGGAATAATTCATATTACGGCAAGGAAACCAAATGCAAAAATCCATTGAACAAAAAGTGAATTTATTTGCTGATTTTATGCATGTATTGACTTTGTCTCAGTGAAAAAAAAGAGGCTTGATTTGAATGAAAATGTTTAAGATTCTGTCCATTTTTTGTTCTCATGTTAATCCCAAACACATCATATTTGCTGCAGTGCATTCAAATAATCTTCATTTGTAGATTTTGAGGGATGGAAGTGAAAGACCATTTGCTGAAGGATTCAGTAGGGATTGACAGAACAATAAGACATGTCAGATGATACTAAATTTTGTCTTGTGACTTTTCCATCATAATAAAAATCACACATTTTGACTGAGATTCCACGTGTCATCATCCACAGATACCAACAATTATATTTTCCTTTTCTAATATTTGTTTAAAGACAGTTTGTTGTGCACATTTAATCATTTTAGACATTTTAATGTGTGTGGCAGTCTTTACATTAGTGTGACTTTTTAGTACTTTTGCACACCCTTGTATATTTGTGGTCTGCAGGACCCACAAAGCTTTCGACTGTGGACCAAATCTATATGTCATGATCCTCACCCAAAACCAACTCTTTTGTTTTCATGCACTTAAAGAAGACAGACATACCAATCTTCTCAGTGTATGTTTGTGTGTGTGCGTGTGTGTGTAAGAGAGTATCTGCTCTGGCATGCTATTGTTTCCACCCTTGTGAAGTTCTTAGACACAGTGTGGTTTGTTTCACAAGTTCCCCATTCAAGCTACTTTTGTTTTGTAATTATAACTGTCTAAGAGCGTGACGCTCAAACCACTTCTTTTATATACTTTGATTATATGCTTGTGGGCATCACACTTTTTGTGTCTTGAGAGGTATATTTTTTTGTTGGGTTGTGGTGGTGGGGGGTGTTAGTTTGAGTGTAATCTATAGAGAATTTCCTTAAAAGCATACTCTGATTATTGCTGCAGACTCAAATTAACACAGTCGACACCAATCTGATTAAACAAAGCCATGAAATTGTAACTGAAATTATTTTAAGTTCATCCATCCATCCATCCATCCATCCATCCATCCATCCATCCATCCATACATACATACATACATACATACATACATACATACATACATACATACATACATACATACATACATACATACATACATACATACATACAAGCATGCATGCATGCATGCATGCATACATACATACATACATACATACATACATACATACATACATACGTACATCATCTTTTACCTGCTTCTTCTTTTTGGGTCAGTGGGGTCACTGGTGCCCATATCCAGCCATCACTGTGCGAGAGGCAGGGGGACACCCTGGACAGGTCCAAGTCCATCATAGAGACATAGAGACAAATGAGACAAACAACCATTCACTCTATCACTCACACCTAGAGACAATTTAGAGTTACCAATCAGCCTAACATGCATGTTTTTCGTCTGTGGGAGGAAACCGAAGTACCTGGAGAAAACACAAACTACACCCTAAAAGGTCCCCGGCAGGAATTTGATCCAGCAACCTTCTTCCTTGAGAGGCAACAGCTCTACCAACTGAGCCACTTCGGCCTTATTTTTATTTTTTAAATGTTTAATTATTACTGTATTTTCTGGCGTATAAGTCGCTACGGAGTATAAGTCGCATCAGTCAAAGAAAACATCATGAAGAGGAAAAAAACATATATAAGTCACTTGGGCATATAAGTTGCATTTATTATGCGTCACTGCTGACCTATCATGTGAGACAGGGGCTGAACACAAGGAGGGAAAACACAGAGAGGTGAATCAGGAAACATGAGGAAACAGACAGAGACAGGTCAAAAACCCAGTAACTCTACAAAAAACATTATTTGCTTGCTCAACATTATACCAAAGGTGTGCCTCAGTTTTTTCCTTAATAAATGCACTTTAATGGTCAAAACAGCTTCATTTCGCCTGGGCGGCACCATCCATTCATCCAACCATCCAACCATCCATCCATCGCAGCCGCTAGCTGTCCAGCGTTCCTCCGCCTGCACCAGCTGAGTGAAGCGAGCGCGCATAGGAGGACTCACTGTTGCAGTTCTTCGAAATTTAAAGCGTCAGTCAAAAATTGCGTTATGAATATGGAAAATAAAAACGTATATAAGTCACTTCAGGGTATAAGTCGCAGGACTGACAAATTTATGTAAAAAAAACTGTGACTTATACGCTGGAAAATATGGTACTTTTTTTTTTTTGCATTACAAATACGCACTAAGAAACCATTTGTTTTGTAATGAACAAGGACGTAGTAATTTTTAATTTTTTTAACTTTTGCTATACTCTCACTTTTTAAAAGACATTTCCGCACATCAAGAGGCAACAAATGTGCCATTCTGCTACAAAACTGTTCTCACTAATAGCGGTCTTGTAAGCTCATTACATTAATGAGAAAAATATACTGAAAAATAACAACTAACTCCTCTCTGACAGGCTCGTGCTAAGGTTCAAACTAGGAATTATTGTTGTGAGGCAGCGAGGCGTATTGTTACATCATTTTTTTTTCAATGTGTTCCTGTCCATCAAGAAATTGGCGTATTTCATCATCTACACATTAACGCTACTACAGATACAACTTAGTAGCCATTCTGTTATAGAGAATGTTTTGCACGTTCAGAACCAAAGAAAGGTTGACTGTTTTTACACTTTGAGAATGAACTTTTCAACTGAATTTTATCCTTATCAAATATATGATGACAGGCTGAAAGCTGGTTCTTATGAATGCACAGTCACGTATCAAAAAGGTTTACAGGCAAAATGTTCCCAGCGTCTCTCAAAGCAGTGGCAAGCTAACGCTCCGAGACAAGATGCAAGCATGTTCTTCATCTACTCTTCTGTTTCCCACTCTCATCTCTGCCACTTTACCTGGCTTTAGTCCCAGATGTTATAGTTTCCAGCAATTAGATGTCTGAATGCTCATACGGAGTCCTCCACTCCATCTGAAATAACTGGTGGAAGTCTCCAGGTCACTGGAACGAGGATAAGTTGCATGGTGCTCTGTCAGTTTAGCATTCAGATGATGCTGAATCTTAAGGGAAATCTTTTGTTTTAAGGAAGTGAAAAGTATCTGTTATTTGTGAAACATCACCTGAGTTTTTTTTTTTTTTTTTTCATTTATCCTTTAGTTATACAGGTAGTCTCATTGAGCCACGAGATCTCATTTTCAAGAGAGACCTGATTTTAGGGAGCAGATGGTGGGGGTTAAGGGCAAGAGGTTAAGTTAAAGCTCTCCCTTCACAGGTAGATACAGCATAGGGAGATAAAGGTGATCGGTTTCATCATCTGTCTTAAATCAGTTTCCTCATCATCTGAATGAAGAGCTGAAACATTTAGTCTAATAATTGAATTCACTCATTATTTGGGTCATAATCTCTGGTTAGGGTTATGTTTATCTCTGTTCAGTCTGCTTTCTGCAGCTCCCATAGTTTCCCCCCTTAGTTTTACTTTTCAATTATCTTCTCCACCGTGCTTTTTAACAAGATGTTGTTTATAGTTTGCAACCATTTTAATAATTAACTGTTTAAGGTACTATTCAAACAAGATTGTGTCATCGTTGTGTCTAAGTTTATGACTTAATAATAGGTAAACTGAACTCATTTAGGTTTGAACTGCTAGTTAGAAAAATTTTAACACTCTTGGATGTCAACTTACACCTTTAGCCAATTAAATATTTTTTTGTCTGTTTGTTTGTTTGCATGATTTTAGTTTTAACAATCATTATTAAAGTAAAACATAAAAGTTGGCTTATAGAATTGAAGATACAAATGCTATTAAAGAACTGGATACCACACTATTTACTGATTTGATTCCTGTAAGATTTCTTTTTGCACATTTTGTGATAAATTACTCTGTTTTTTCTTTCAGGTTTTGTCAAATGTGCGTTGTTTTGTGTCCATCAAATAAACACAGCTAAATATTTTGTCCTGTGTTTAAATTAATCTAGTAAATTTGTTAGACAAAATCGATCAAATTTCCCAATTATCCATTTGTCAAGCCAGCGTTATTAGATTAAACGCAATAAAACTTCACTCTGTGGCTTGTATTAGCTTTGTATTTACAGTACAGCATGCTGTAAGACAGAACAGTCTTGCTCAGAAGTGAAATAAATAACTGCAGCTTTCTTGACAGCAGCCTGCAGACCAGCTGTGAGCTACAACTTTCATTCAGGACATCCTCCTGTCTGCTTTGGTGTCTAAGATATTCCTGAAAAACTCCTAGTAAACTGTCATGAATGACAGAACTCCTAATTATAATAACACAAAGTGAAGGCTGCACAATTTGTAATGCTTTTTAGTTTCTCAAAATGTTAGAAATCTAAACTTTTAATTGGATTTGATTGATTGTTTGGATCCTAATGACCAAACAGAAAAAAAAAAT